TACAATAAATCTTTTAATATGTGAGTAATGCCAATAAAGATGCAACTCTCAACTCCACATGAAACAATATTTTTGTTGGTGGAGTTCTATTAATTAGATGGACTAACATGTTGAGGGTTATTTTTTGTCATGTTATTGTGAGAATTGCAACAATGATCTCTTATATTCCCATGAAAATTATTTTGGTTAATGACAAGTTTTCAACTTTTGCTTTTTTTGCAAAAGTAGAAGTTCCTAAAGATAGTGATGCTAACTTGGAGGCTTGAGGAACAACACAAGGTTTTACATGTGTCTTCGGTGATTATTTTGCAATTATTTTTGAAACAACTATGCAAACAAAGAGTTATTTTGACTTCTTTATACACTAAATAGTGTGAACAACATCTTGAAGGTGTAACAAATATTTAGGGGAATGATATTAAAGAAGGAGAATGGGTTGTTTGAGGCATTTGGTGTGAGTGATTAAGATCAATGTTATGTGGTAATGGATGATTATGGATTTGTTTTCATTCAATTTGCACTTGTAGTTGGCACAACTCTACAAATAATTGCTATTTCGAAAGAAGTTTTTGATGAGCATTAAGTTTTGGAGCTGAACTTGAAACTTAGTGACATTTAAAGTGACAATAGTTTCATTTAATCATATTTATGTTGTAGTTTTATATATATATATATATATATATATATATATATATATAACATTTACATCTACTCTATGTTTATAAGCTTGATTATCTTAGTCAACAATGTTGTGGTTGCTCTAAGAACAAAACTAACATTCTTCTCATGTTTAGCATGTGTGGTGTTACTTCTTTACTCTATAGTTATGGTTACACTAGAACTATAATTGACTTCTTTTTCAATAACAATACCCCATATAAACTCTTTGGTTTGAGTAAGTTTTTGAAAACCTTTATATTGTGTGCCTTTGAATCCTTTAACTTAGGTTTTGCAATTTTCTTAGTTGAGATAAACATTTGGCTACCAACCAATCTTTACACCATAGAATTGTGTTTTAATATTTAACCACAACAAAAACACAATAACCTATATAATTGTAGAGAAATGAGAGCTTGCTGCCAAAACTCTATGCTTGGGGATGAAATAGAGCTTGTGGCCAATTCTCCTTAAAGAAGATGCACACGTATAATAAAGTAGAAAAGCGATAAAAAAGCTACATAACTGAATAAAATAAAGAAGATTATACAACCTAATACCTATTGTAAGTAAATGCTAATTTTAAAATATTGTAAAATTAAAGTTTCTTTTCAACTAAACTAACTATTATGTAGCTAGTTTAACAAAATTAGTCACTTTTTGCAACAAAAAAATAAGTACAACTATGAAAAAAATTCATACACTTTTGTTGGTTTTGGAGCTTGACTTATTATTTTTTTCTTTGGACTATAGTAAATTTGGCTTCTATATTCAGGTTTCTATATTCAAATGACACCATAAATATTGACACATCTAACTTACTTGATTTCTTCCTAAGGTGCTTAACAATTGATGTGAAATCCCCATTATCATTTGGACATGTTTTTAGTACCACATTAATTTTAACTTCAATTTCAACTACTATTGATGAGAAGCTCATTTTTTATAGAGTTTTTGGAATGCATAATTTGTTAGTGCTTGCACCATTAGAGTTCTGTTTCATAACAATTAAATTATCAATAGATTTGTTAGGTACACAAATATTTGGACCTAAATAGAAAAATGATTAATACTTATAATTTGAAAAAAATTAAAAGCATGAATACATACTTTTGCTTGCACTTTTTCATGGTTATTATTGTTGTAGCAAGCTCACTTTCTCAGCTGTGACATTCATTTCATTGTTGTACATGTTTAATAAGCTCCCATTTATAGTTGCAAAGTTGAACACAAGAAATAAATGTAAAAGAAATATAAAAAACCTCATGTATAACATACATTATATTATATATGTGTAATTTTGCCCATGATCAAGTTTTGTGGTACCAAGGGATGTTAGGAATCTAGAGGCTTAGTGTGCTTGGCTGCTTGTGCCTATGGGGAGTGTAGCTAAACCTTAAGTCTAATTTAACCCGGGGAGGGGGATTGGGAGAGATTTAGGAATCCGTGGATGGAGGGCTAATGCTTTGTTGCTCGTGTAGTGAGTAGTTGAAACCAAGTAGGAGTCGGTACCATAAACAGGAACCTTGGCGAGGGAATTTAGCTAAGTCCAAAGAAGTGTTGGTCGGATAGACAAGGTAAGCTAACAAATTGAAAAGGAAAAATTTATGGCTTACATTCTGCTTCTTTGACCCTTTTACATCCGAAGTAGTCACCACAGACTTCAACTTGTGCTGCTTGTTCCCATCCTTGTGTCCATGGTGATCATCATAATGATTCTCAACAGAAGGATTCTGTGAATGCTTGTGAGACTTGTGCTTATCATTGTCAAGTTGATGAGCTGCATCAAAGAGCTCCTTCAAACTCTTTGTAGGCTTAGAATGACACAAATATTGCCACATACTCTCACATAGCAAAGCGAACGGTGGCTCATAGGACAATGATTTGGAGTTGGATACAAAGTGACAATCAATGTGTTGGTGGTGGAATGGCTTGATTTGAATCCTTCATTGGAATATGGCTAATCAAGCGAGTAAACTTCCTAATATAGTCCCCGAGCATCATTTTCCCTTGCTGGAAATGTTGAAGTTCTGTACAAACATTTTCCATGTTATAGTGAAGGGCAAAATATAAACAAAAAACAACCTCAAACTCATCTATGGTAAACACTAGTGGTTCTCCTTAAGCTAATTCCACCACCGAAGACCCATATCATGTAAAACCATTAGAATAGCCACTAAAGCCTTTGCATCCGGAGTTCCCCTAGCAGCCAAGGATTTTTTCACATTGGCTAGCCAAATGAGACACTTGTCCACACCATTATCACCGGAAAAGGTTGGAATCTTGAATTGATCTACTAAGGAAGGCTTATTTAGAGAACTACCACATTCAGCCTCAAGTGCTTCAACACGCCCATGCATGGTATCCATCATGCCATGCATCTCATCTTGCATCTTTTGTTGATTTCGATTAAAGGCTTGTAGCTCATGAACCACATTTTGAATCTAAATCTCTGTAGCTCCGTTGGCACCATCATTAGCATCACCATCAACAATAGGATTCCAATATTCAATTTGTTCAGCTATCGTAACCAACTCCTCTAATACCAATGTTATAATCCAATGCAAAAATACAGAGATCTAGTCACCCTAAACTACATTACACTTCTTCTTGACGTTCCTCACCACCCAACCACCCTTGAACTACCTCAAACACTCCATTACACCGCTGCTCCACTATGAGCCCTAGGGTAAATACCCTTGAGCCTACCTTTAACCAACATTGACAACTTGGTCAAAGTTGGCACTTAACATCCCTCTTCAGCAAAAAAATTCCAGCTCAATTTCTTATGGAGCAAGCGCATGCATTTACAGTGGCAAGAGTATTGATCGCCTGCTCTTCCATGGAGCATAGCTCTGCACACACAATAAGTGATGTCTGAAATAATCTTGAAAAGGTTTCAATTTCAATTTCATCTAGTATAAATGGTAACCGGAATGTTGGCCACACATGTTGCTAGCTCTTGGAGCTCACTATGGTGGGCCTCATTCCCAAACAAGACAATACTTTGCAAAGCTAGGCAGGATTGCACAAACTTATCCAGCAAGACACGGAATTGTAATGGTTTGCCGCAGAATACGTCTAAACACACCTTCCTCAGCCTTGCAAGTTCTTGAATCTCACTTGGAAAACCCCTGCCGCATTGGCATCTGCTTCCAAAACAGCTGAGGATCAACTCCTGGCACTCCTTAAACTGTTCCAACACAAACACCACCCATGCGACCTCATGAGGACAAGATCGTCGATAGAATGGTCTATTGCACTCCAACCTCATAGCTTTGAAATGCATCCTTTCCATAGCGGCAACTGTCGTCTCCAGCGCACCCAATCTAGACCCAAGAGTTTCCAATGCGTTACATACAAGCTTAAGCACCCCGGGTACCTTCTCCGACTCCACAAATGTCTCACAGTAGCCAAGCGACAGCTTCTTCAGGCGCGGAGCTCTCATCTTGAGCCTCTCGCAGTCACCAATGCAAGCGGTCTCTAGATTGGGAAGGTCCAACTCGATCAGGCCGCCCTCACTGTCTGGCGTTTGAAGGCTCAACACTCTCAGGCTTGATGACGATAGGGAGCCACAGAAGCCCGACACGTTTGCTGATAGCTCTTCAAGCGCTGGGCATGCAGGCAGCAGCTCCGTCACGAGGTCTAGACCAAGCACATTGTCAAAGCTGCAACGCGCGAGAGCTGGAAATGTGAGGCTTAGCGGAGCCTTTCTGCGGTACATGAGCTCCTTGCCCATGGGCACAAAGCAAAGCCTGTAAAACCTCACGAACTTGAGCCTGGGACACGACTTGGAGACCAGCTCTAGATCAAAGCAGCTGTACAGCGTGTACTCCTCGTTCTCAATCGTGAGCTCCTCCAGAGTGGTTGCAATGCTTGTGATCCATGAGTAGTTCATGTGTAGAGAGGAATTGTATCTGTGAATGAGGAGCTTTCGGATGGATTGATGCACCAGCTTGAAACCCATGCCTCGTGGCTTGAGATTGATTGATACGAGACCAACCTCCTCCTTGGCAATTCTGTGCCACCTCTTGCTCACCAGAGGGTACATGATGTTGTGACGCGCGTCAGGAAACCTGGTATGGGGTACCTTGTCCAGGATGAGCGCAAGAACAGCGTCTGATAGGCTGTCAATGGTGGTGCCCTGATCGCCAGGAAGATCTGGACCTTGGACGTCCATCCGGTTAGAATTTCCCTAGCCACGATCCTTTATCCTTTATAGCGTCGCTAAATACACAGTTGTAACCTAAAGGAGGCAATAATAGCATAACTCATACTCGTAGAATATCCTTATTCTCCACGAATAAAGAATATCCATATTTCAAGCATAGCTAGGGCTTTGCTGCGATGTCTCTCGCTCAGCTGCCTCCTGCGCGGCTCTTCTCTCCTCCTCCATCGGCGCAGCAGCGCGAGAATCGCTGCGGCGTTCATCGAAATCTCCATCGCCGCGGGTGTGCGCCTGCGAAATTCGTAGCGGCGGCGGCGCAGGATCACAACGCGGAGCCGGATGAGTGGGATGTGAGCCGGAGCTGCGTGAATCCGGTGTTTAGAGGCCCCATTTTCCAGGTACGCCGCCTGCATTGTCTTGTTCTTGTGATGATCGAAGCTCTCAGGAGCCTAGCAAGGGCGAGCGGCTCTATGTTGTGTTTGCCAGCGAAGGGAATGTGTGCCGGTCTATACTTGCGGAGGCCATTTTCAACAAGCTCGCGCAAGAATCCGGCCTCTCGGACCTTGTGGAATGCAAATCAAAGGTTCTCTTTTCTCTTCTTCCTTTTCATAGTTTTCTTTTCCTCGTTCTCAAGCTTTGTGTTGGTGGTTTGTTCTTCGTTTTCATGGCCTTGTTTTTATAGGCTACAAAGGAGTACAATGTCGGTGAATCTCCCGAGCCTCAGGCTATCCAAGTCGCGGAGGAACGCGGGCTAAAGCTCCCGGATGGAGCAGTGTCTAAGATGTTTGAGAACCCCACAGACATCGTAGAGGCGGATTTGATCATTGTCATGGACAAGGTAAGACAGAACTTTGTTTTTTTCTTTGATTACTGGAGTAGGATGCAGGGCTGCGGCCGGATATTGGATTCGGCAGTTCAATGCGTCGGACTTGCTGAAGCAAATAGTTTTGCAAGAGGTTGTTGACAAGAGGACTTCTTACTCGCACAAAGTACGTCGGCTTGGAGACTTTTGTAAATCGCGACTGGTAACTACAGCTTGCATCTTTTGCTGCTTCTTACCTTCTGATTTGCATTGAATGACAGATAGAAGATATAGATGATCCTCTTTACGGCAATATGGGAGGCCCGGAAGAACTTGTGAGTTTTTCTGCCATTCGGGTGTCTCCTCCTAAGTTTTTTGTTCCTGCAGAACTTTGTAAGACAAGTGTATAATGATATTTTGGAGTCCTGCGAGGGATTGGTACATTATCTGTTGCAAGTGAAACGAAATTTACAAGGTTTGCTACTTTACTACCGGAAATTTTTACTCACCAGATATAACACCCGAACAGGAACTCAAACTATGAAAGAGGGAGTGTCCAAGTTAGTCACTGAGCTAGGAACTATCGACTGGGTGGCACCACCTATGCTGCAACGCTCGTCATAAACCCAGAACCTTGCAGATTTTGAGAAACGCGTCTTACTTCGCATCAGGAGAGCTTGTAACTTGTAAGTGAAGTGGTGTCAGTGCTTGCTACTAAGAGTTTTCTTTTTCCAGAACTGTGATACTGTAATCAAATACCTAGGAAGAGCATATGTTTTGCAAGTTAAAAAAAGGTTTGCTGCCCAGTGAGCTTTTGTTGACCACGATCTGTATTCAAGCAGGACTGAAAGAGCTAGGAACCAAGATTCTCTCGCAATATGCTTCCACTAGAGAGTTGGGATTTAGGAATTTAACCTTTTTTGTGCGCAAGGGTAGCAATTTGGCAATGGAGGAGCCAATGTCGAATGTGATTTTCGATTTGGACGGGACATTGTTAGACACAGGTGGGTTTTCTTTGCTTTGCGTCGCTGCTCCGACACCATCGTCCTTGCCTTGCAGAGAGAATTGTGGACGAAGTGTGTGAGGAGTTTTTGGTAGCTAAATACGGCAAACAGTGGGATGGGAGGAACCCGGAGAAGCGGCTTGGCAAGAAGCCTCTTCAAGCTGCAGCCGCGATTGTGGAGGATTACGAGCTTCCTTGCACTCCGGAGCAGTTTTTGGCTGAAACCGTGGATCTAGTACGTGGAAGGTAGTAAATCTTTTACAGCTTCCTTTTTTTCTGAGGTCGTTTACAGGTTCCGAAACGCTAAAGCGCTCCCAGGTGCTAATCGTCTTCTCAAACATTTAGTTGCGCACAAGATACCAATTGCGATCGGCTCGAACAGTTATCGGAGTTTTATTGCAGAAAAACTCGCTCCACATTCAGGTAACTCAATCCGGGTAGAAGCGTTCGTTTACATATTACAATTTTTCTCAGGCTGGGCTGAAACTTTTCCGGTGATTGTGGCTGGGGATGAGGTCCAAGAACCCAAGCCTTCTCCACAAATGTAAGTGGCACATTTATTTATTTATTTTTCCTGGCTTTTGTAAGCAAAAAAATGTTCCCAGATTCTTGGAGGCCGCTAAACAACTCGATGCCACTCCAAGCCGCTGCCTTGTCATCGAAGACTCTCCGTAAGTTCAAAACTTCCAAGTTAGTTCTTGGCATTTTGTGCTAACTATCCTATATTATAGAACTGGTATCACAGCAGGCAAAGCAGCAGGAATGAAAGTAGTGGCTGTTCCGTCTCTGCCATCCAAGGCCTCACGTCATTTGTACGCATCTGCTGACCACATTATTTCGTCCTTGCTGGATTTCAAACCAGAGCTATGGGGACTTCCTCCATTTCAAGACTGTAAGTCATCTCATCAAACTTTTCTCAGTCCTGATCGAATGGATTCTCAACAGGGATAGCAAATGCGCTGCCAATAGAGCCCTGGTACATCTCTGGACCCGTGATCAGAGGCTTTGGTCGAGGCTCCAAAGTCCTCGGAATTCCCACTGGTACGTAAAACTTCTTGCAAGGCGGTCTTGATCATTTGTTTACTTCCGTGCAGCGAATCTCCCGACTGGAGCATTCTCCAAGCAACTAGCAGAGCAAGTTTGCGGGATTTATCTAGGCTGGGCGAGGCTTTCGGACAAGGGAGTGTTTAAGATGGTGATGAGCGTCGGCTGGAATCCATATTTCGACAATGCAGAAAAAACAGTGGTAAGTGCAAGTTTTACGTTTGTTAGGAAAGAAGCTCAGTTGCTGCTACTACAGGAACCCTGGTTATTGCACGAATTTCCGGAAGATTTCTATGGAGAGGAGCTCCGGCTCATTGTTGTTGGCTACATTCGTCCCGAGGTAAACAATCTTTATCCATGTCGTTTCAGAAACATCTGACGACAATGGTTGGATCTGTCCAGGCCAATTTCTCGTCGCTAGAGGATCTGATTAACAAGATCCACGAAGATGGACGTATTGCCAAGGCGGCTCTTGACGTGCCACCTTATTCGGCTTTTAAGGAGGACAAATTCTTGCAACAGTAAGTGTTAGTGTTCACGATCATCGAATCAAAATGGAAATAACAGTTCCTTTGGCGAACTTGGGCCAAAGGAAGAAGAAACCAAACACTCTTGGCATTTTCTCGCGTGTTTTTTATGCTCCTTAAGATCCACGCGTTTAAAGCTGTAGCAGAACAAGGATGTTTCAACGAATCGCTGATAGAACCAAGCAATTCTGGAAAGAAAATCTAGAGCCGTCATTGTAGAGGTTTTGAGCTCACAAAAGCTCGAAATGTCAACGACAGTCACTACATAGTCAATATTAGTCAAAACAAATCTTCAAAGACTATGTGGACTTTCATTGACTAACAGCTTCAAGGACCACTTAACGTAGAATCTACGGCAACTTCTCGCGGGCACAGGTGTTCTTATGTTTCCATGTGAGTATCATGGAAAATGCGTCTCAATTTCTCAAAGATGAATACTACAAGATGGTTTTCGCTGCTTCTCTTTTCCTTGGCGTCACTGGTAGTCTGAGGACGAGGTTGCAGTTCTTTTGCAGTTTCAATCCAATCTGGAGAGTAACACGACCTGGATCTTAAACGACTGGAAGCAGCAAAGTACCAATCCATGCGTCTGGATTGGAGTGGTTAGAGGACTCAATCTCTCCGGCATGAGCTTGCGTGAACAGGAAAATATATATATAAGCTTCTTAAACAGTGTCTCGCTTTATATTTTGTAGAAAACGTTGACATCACTGATGTCGACAAGACGAGGAGCAAGGAGCCCCAGTGTCAAGCTCGTGAGGAAAGTCACTAGATGGACCAAACGTCCAGCGCCGAAATCGACGAGAATTCATCAGAGAAAGATCCAAAAAGATTGGATGCCCCTGACTTGACTACAAAGAAACACTGCCACTGGCATACCAGCTGATGCAATCGAGTACTCCTCTTGGAAGCTTTTCTCTATCCTTTATTCGTTTAGCAGGAGCTAGCAATCGAATGAATGGCTCTTCTATCTTTCAAGGATTTTTCTGGGATCAAGCAAGATCTTAGAGAGAATGCAGGGATTTTGATCATGTTGGGATCGCCGCATTAAGAGAACAGGAGCTACGAAGGACTGCTGGCAGCGAACTCAGTGAGAAAGAACATGGAAAATTTCCACAGTAATGTCTAGCGGACCTTCACACAAAATACCAAATCGAATCTTTATCTAGTGAGCTTGGATCGGGAATGGCTTCAACACCAAACTTCCAGCTTCAGATGGCGGCGCCGCCACTAAGCTTTATAACCATCCAGCTTAGGCCCTACAATAAACTCGTCAGCATACTTGTGAAAGAGGCGCTCGAGATTCTCCATTGTTATACCACTGGCAAGCAGTGTTTACCGAAGACGCCTTCATTGACATATAAACCCTATGATCTCTTTTTACTGCGTTTAATCTCACGGGCTTTGCGCTCCATCGCGAGTCTAAGAATTAAGTTGAGCGTGGCCGACTCCGTGCTCCAAAACTCGTTTTGTCTCTTCGGCAAACATTGTCATATTTTATTATTATTTAACCTTGTAACTTCAGGAAAATACGATCCTTCCGCTATAAAGACATCCTTTGACATCGAGAATTCACAAGAAACCAACCATCCGCCACTCCAATGTCAGCCCTCACGCATTCGACTTGTACCTCTCCAGGCGTGGGTGCTCGCCTACGATCGCATCCTTTCCTTCTGAATCAAAGCTTGTTCCTGTGAAAAAGGAGAATTGGTAGCTGCTTAATCCAGTGCTGCATCCTGCTGTTCATGACAAGAGCTCTTTGAATGCAACCTTACAAACACGTCATGAAGTCAAAAGCTAGAACTTATCAGCTTATCAGGGTTCCTAAGCGAGCGCTCTACCATCTGGGCTACATCCCAAAATTTGCAAGCTTCTGCTTTATGTTCTGTTAACTAGGAAATTTCTTGACGATGAGCATGTGGAAACTCTGGACAGACCTAGCTCTATACTACTCTCGGCTTCTAGAAGGCAAGACCTTCTAGTTTGGAATATCATATGTTTTAAGCAATATTGGAGATGATGATTGATTTTATTCCTTCAAAGTTCTACTACATTTTCTACATAGGGAAACGTTTTCTTCTCGTCCTTGTCTTCTCTCTTGTTATGCTTCTCTTGATTGTCTCTCTGTTCCTTGTGTTTTTCTTCTCTCTGGTCATCCTTATGAATGTCATCCTTTAAATCGGCACGATCACACTTATTCTTGAAGTTGATGTGGATGTTGATATTGTTGTTGTTGTTGTTCATGTGCTTGCGCACACCTTGCCCAATAGCATCACTGTCTTCCACAGAGTGCAAAAGAAATTTGGGAACTGATTGAGCTTGATGTGAATCTTGCTGTTCATGAACTTCGACAGAGAAGAACTCCCTCTTTGAAGAAGACAATGCAACCTTCACAAACACAAGCACAAGAAACACTAGAGCAGCCTTCATGGTGAGAAGAGACAACCTTCAAACAAGTATTTGCTTGCTTGGTGAAGCAGGTTTATGGTCTAGCATGCATTTCATACATTGCCAAGTGTGTCTTCATGCAATTACATCTTTTGCTATACAAGATTTGCAAAAGCTAGAAAAATAAGAAATGGAGATGTCGGGTATCGATCCCGGTGCCTCTTGCATGAAGATAGCAATAATTCCAAAGTTTCTCCACATCGAATATCGAGAAACCTTTAAATGGATCTCTGATTCCATAGCAAAACCTCGTCGCTCCCCAACACCTCTACGATTTTGATGTCTCTAATGAGCCCATAGAGCTCTCCAAAAACCGTAGAATTTGGATAGAGCATGATCCACTCGTCCCAAACTCGAGCCCACGAAAATCGTTCCTCCGACCACAGCATCTTGGAATTGAATGCCAATCCAGTCCACTCGTGAGCGGGGACACTTTGAACAATGCTGGTGTTGGAGGAATTGGACGAAAGCTCCCAGCCGTTGACTAGCTTCCCCGCAGAGCCAAAGGTTGTTCTTTGAGTGAAAACTCCATGTAAAGGTGGTGAGGTCCTTGCGAGACCTGCTGGGAATGCCGCTACCCTCGCCACCTTTTGGAGTTCGTCAAAGAGATGGAGGCTGGCGGTGCTGTGCTCGTCGATGAAGACGATGATGCCTTCCATCTTATTTTCTCGTATGAAACTGGCCAAAAAGATTGATCTGGTTTATAGCAAAGATAACTCTAGAGAACTTACCTGAGACTTTGGATCCTTCTCGACAACGCCATGGAAGAAGCCAGATCATCCATCCGCGGCTCCAGCAGCGCAAACTTTGTAGCGCGGCTCCTCGAGAGAACCTCTCTCGTGGTGTCTCTTTGGTGATCATTCGTGAAATTGGAGCATTCCATGACGATCCACGAGATGGAGGCCCGCGAGGCCGCGCAAGCCAGAGTGTTTGCCATGGCCCCCAATCTGAGCAACACTTGCATTCTTCGCTCTCGCTGCTGGCCAACTTTGCAATCTCCCAGCGTGGTCACCACGATCACCTCTTGCTTCTTGTTCATGAGCTCTTCCTCCTCAAACGCCCTTCTCTGCTCGAGCTGGACGCGATCCATGATCGCCTGTGCGGCGGCAAGCTCGCGCGGATTTGGGTGAGGCCAGGGGCGGACGATGATCGGGTGGCGACCCGGATGGACGCAACTCGAGGGGGAGGAGCTCGCCATCGTCTTGGGTGGACCGGCCGCGCTCATAGCCATTCTTGGAGCTCCTCCGGCTCCATGGCTAGCTATCGTGGACTCTAGCAACAGGGGTTGACCACGATTGGCGCGGTGGTAATCGCTGGAAGAAGAGAAGAGGATCAAGGAGAGCTCCATCCCCAGCATCAAGCTCGCGATGCAAGCCACTAGATGGACCGACACGCCCAACGCCGCGATCGACGAGAATCCACTGCTCCATCCACTCCAAATCATCAGAGAAGAGCCACTGCTCATTGATTGCTAGCATTATCCTCCTCGAGAAAGAATCGATAGAAGAGAGAAAGAAGCTGGACAAGTCGATCGATCGATGGAGGAGAAACGCTGTGGAGGGCGTGAACTCACTCCTGGGGCGTGCGATGCCAGTGGCAGTGTTTCCTCAGTACTAAAGTCACGGGCTTCATGGCATGGCCAACTTTCTTCCATTCTTTTTGATTAAATTTCCCTGCTTTGCAGGGTCTTTTTTCTTGTTTTTCTTTTTAATTTCTGCAAATGCCAGCAAAGGTGGCATAGCCCATCATTCTCTCCAAAGTGTTTGCCAACTCACACTAGCTATGGGGTTTTATTCATTCCACTGCCGTATGGACCACCTGGCTGATACTATACGATCGTATACTAAAAGTTGGCGGACTTCCCCGTGGAGACCAAAAGGTTCCTTCTCGCGAGAGGTGGCTTGCCTGGAGCTTTGACAAGCTTCTCCCTGAGCCACGATTCAGAGGGTCCTCTTGGAACCGGAAGAGCAATGCTAGCAGCATCGATCTCCTCCCGAAGATCACGACTATCATCGCTCTCTCCCCAGTAGATCCTCGCGTTTGATGGAGATTTGTCGTGATCCTCGCGATCTTCGGCTTCTCCGAAGGGGTTGTTCTTCGATGATCTCGGTGTGACTGTAGAACTGGCTGTGATCTTGGTCTTGGAAGGCACGTAGATGAACAGCCGATCTTCCTCCACACGCTGCTTGGATCCCATTGACGAGAAGCTCTCGTCTGGGATCACCACGCCTGGATGAATGCCTCTCTCGTCCAGAGCGTTCGCGCTCTTATTCCTGGACGACTTGATCATCGTCTTGACGGGCTTGGCTGGATCGAAAGTTTCCGTGAGAACTCCCTGCCGCATCTGATCGAGCGTGTCGAGGCAGAAAACTTTCTCCGTGGCCAGGCCGCCACTGTAGGAGTTCTGCCTCGAAGCTCGTCTCGAAAGTTGGATCGACGTGAGTGACTCGCTCGAATCGCTCTCGTTTCCATTCGCTGGATTGCTGGTAGCGTTCCTGCTGTTTGTCTGGAACTTTGCGGCTGTTTTGCTGTCCGACTTGACGATGGGATACATTCGCTTGATGAACGTGGATCCAACTCGTCGGTCTCTCGGCATTCCCAGGAAGCCTTTGCTCTCCACCATGGCCGGAGATTTGAGACCGCCGCGGGATGGAGTGTAGCGGCAAGCCAAGTAACTGGTGTTCTTCCGAAACTCGCTCGATTCGTCCTCGAGATCATTCTCATCGCGACCACCATCGCCACCCTGAAGGAAGCTCAAACTTGTGTCAAGAGTTTGGAATAAAAATGAAGAAACGTAAAAGAATTTGCTACTCACCTCGTCACTCCACCACTCCGTGCTGCAGCTTTCATCACCGTCATCTTCGCAATCAAGACTTTCTCGTTCCACCTCCAACTTTTTCTTTGAAGCTCTCGCTCGTCGAGGAGAAGAAGAAGATCCCCTGCCTTCATTGCCGCTGGCTTGGATCATCCTGAGCAGCGGGAAGAAACCACAAACGCTGCCAACAATGGTGGTGTAGCGCTGGCTGGAGAGATCCCCGTCGCCACCCTCCGAGTCGCGAAGACCACCACTCCTCCTCGTCTCACTCCGAGAGTTTCCAGCATCGTCATGCATCTTGATCAGCTCTGCAAAGCTTTTCTTCTCCGGCCTTGGCGGTGGATGGTGGTGTTGTTCTTTGCGATACTGGTGGCCTTGCGGAGAAGGATGAGCGATCAAAGGCCTCCTCCACGCCAACTCTGTTTGCTGCTGCTGCGCCGTCTCGCGAGCCACCGCCTTGGCCGCCGGCAAGAACCTTTGCATGATCATATCTCGATCGCTGGAGTTATACTCCACCATAGCCATAGCCTCCTCTTCGTTGCAATCCCACTCGCCACCATCTTCTCGATCTTCTCCCTCTTCCTCTCCTCCCCCAAGCTCACTCACCATATAAGTTGGAGCAATCGACAGCGTCTCGGTGTGAGCAAAGTCCGACCTCGCGTCCGCGAACTCCAAGAAGCTCGTCGTCTCTTTCCTTCCTTTCTTCTTGCTCGTTGTCTCTGGAGGTGGAGCGAGCACCAGGGCAGTAGCAGTAGTAGCATCTGATTGCTCTCCACCATCGCCAGTCACAGCGCGATCGTCTCCCTCGCGAAGAGCGATGGATTCGATGGGTGGCAGCGGCGGTGGCAGCTCCCAAGTGAAGAATGGAACCAGAGGCCGCTGGCTGAAGCTACTGCTGCGCCGGGAAGTCCTGGCGGAATTGCGAGGATTGGGATCGCCGCGAGAGCCACATTCCCCGGGCGCTCCATCTCGATTCCTTCGCACCGACAGCAATGGCGCATTCAAATCCAGCTGCTTCTTACCGACATTGCTCGCGGGCGCGGGCGCCCTCTTTGCGTCCCCGACGCCGCGGAATTCCTCGCCCCAGATCCATGGCTTGAGCAGCCGCGCGTCGCCCGCCTCGACCTCGTTCTTGCACCCCCTGCCCTGGATTGGATAGAGTAAAAAAGAAGAAAGAGCGAATTTTAGATAGATTCCTTCTTCTTCCAAGACGAGATTTTGGCCAACCTTGTGAAGCATTCTTCCAGTCCAAGCGATTGCATTGACGAGGAATGGATTGCGCGCGGCGCTGCTAGAGCTCGTCCTCCATGAATCATAGAGGAAGAAAGGTTTGCTAGAAGATAGAAGAAGATAGAAGAGAGGTAATGTTCTTGGGAGTATGTGGTAAAAATTGCAAGGCTTTGGTACTAGCACGCGCGATAAATGCCAGCTCCAAAGCTTGGTTTTCACAACACACCACGACGAAAACACGATATGCCCAAGTCTGGTATCCGCTGGCTACTTCCCACCAAATCTCCTTCAAGGCCAATCTTTCTCCTCCCTCCATGGAAAACTTTTCCTCCTCTTATCTTTTCTTGCTTGGACTCCACGGGGGTTCGAATCTCACTTCCATACCGCTTAGCTTAGTTCGTTGCCACATCCTTTTCCGTGCCAAGCGACGGAGATTTCGCGAAACTCTCGTCGCTTTGATCGTCGCTTTTCTTTACGTTGCTCCACACAGAGATTGCTCGAGGAAAGCTGCCGCGCAGCGAATCTCTGCCGACATCTCACCAGACACACACGATAGACGAGAAAGTGAGACAAAAAAAGAACCAAAGAAAGCGTACGAAACACAGACAATCGAACCAACCTGGTTTTAAGGCATTCGTACGAAAGAATGGAGAACTTAGCTACGTGCCTGGAACTATATCTCTAGCTCTAGCTCGGTGGAATGTAAATGAATGAAGGAGAGCCCAAGTACCTTGCTCCGAGAACTCACACCTTGGTGGCTGGGGGGATTTCCTCCGGCTGCTGGATCTGCTGTGTGGACGACGAGGAGACTTTGTGGCTCACGTATCCATAGAACGTACATCCCAGCAGCGTTATCGTGCAGCCGATCCCGTTCATGACAGAGATTGGATTCCGGAACACAAACCACGACACCGCAATTGCCACCGCAACCTGCAAAGATAGTAGTAGAAATGGAGAGGTTAGAACGCAGCTCGAGACAGCTGACGAGCCAACGACCGGAGCTTTCTCTCTTTCTTTTTGAATTGAAATGTCTATAGCATACCTTTAAGTTGCCGGCGACATTGAATGTTAAAGCTGTCGTGGACTGGATCACGTAGAAAATCGAGAAGTTGAGACAAAAGGCCACAGCGCCAGAGCCGACGAGGACGAGAAGCGGCATGCCGAGAGACTCCTGCTCCTGGATCCATCTTAAAACGCCGCCGCCTTCTACGAACGGTGCCACCAGACAAAGAACTGCTGCGGCGTTTGGAGCCATGTAGTAGACAGTGTTGATGCTGTGCAAAACCCAAACAGAGAAAAGAAGGCATCAGCTACAAACTTAAAACTCCGACAACGTTTCAACAATACCTGTCGAAGTTAAAGCCGTGTAGAAGCCTTTCTGCTAGGATTGTCTTCGTGGACGTAACCAGGCAGCCGAAGAAGGCAGCGAAGAAGCCAATTGTGTTGAAGCTAAGCTCCGTGAGCGAGGCCAGTAATATGCCACCCACAACAGGCAGCAGCGAGAGCCAGACTTTTCGATCGAACACCTTCCCCCAGACCAGCCACTGCAAGATCACTAATCCAAGTCCAGGTACAAGTAAACAAAACGAAAAAAAAAACCAGAAAACTTACGAGTTGTGGCTGGAGTGAGGGACTTGACCGTCTGCATGAAGGAAACCGGGATGTATTTCAGGCTCACATTACCCAGCACGATGTTGAGACAAAAGACAAGTGACATAGGGAGTATCCTCTGAGCGCGATCTACAGAATTTACATGGATCAGAGGTTTCAATCTCAACAAGCTTATACTGATGAAGGCTCCTACTGAAGAAACAACCAGGTGAATGATTGTTACTGTTAGAGGGAACTTAAACTCGAGAATCTGTCAAGCGGCATGCAAAGTCAGTGGAAGTAAACTTTTTTTCTTGTCTCTCGTATTTGTTCTTGGCTCTCTCTGTGTCTCTCTCTTTCACAAGCCAAAGTTACCTGAAAGATCCACTTATTTGAGACCACCGTCATAACGTTGAAACACCACCACAGAAGTATAGCACCAACACCCATGCTCAAGCTCCTCTTGCCTTCCATCTTGGAGCTCCTAGTCCCTCCTTTATCCTGCACACCAAGAGCAAAGGCATTAGAAAACCACTTCCTTCTCTCCAAACTTTTCTTTTGCTACACTTCTGACGGAGCCCATCTTTCCAATTCAGAGAAACGCTTCACAGATCTGCACCTGGAGCGAGCCAGCCGTTTTGCTCATCTCTCCTTGCGATAGCCCAAGCGAGCAACACTTTGCTCCACACAGCCGAAACAAGAAATGGTATACCTAGAAAAAGGAAAGGAAGAAAATGTTTGTACCTTGAAGCGGGACCGAAATGCTGGAAGGATCGACCTTCCCGATCTTCCTGTAAGCTTGAAAAGTGAGTGATACAAGGAAGAAGCGAGAGAGAAGTAAAGAGAAAAGGTCTCGTACAACAATAGGAAATACATGACAACCCACCAGAAGCTTACATCACTTTTATAGTCACACTCTCTTGCTTACTCGCTAAGGAGCAATGAACAGCTTTTTAGCGCGCTCACAGTTCGTTTTTTATTCTCGCTGCTAGTACCTATGGAGAAAAATATAAAAACCCGTTATCATCATCTAAAGCCGAGAGAAGAATAGCAGACTACCACCACCATCGCATTGGCGCTTCTCCGCTTCTTTGCGCAGCGTGTGCGAATGCCAGCCTTCGGTTCGGTCGCTCACAGCTTGTGATAGTTCTTCTCGATTTTCTCAATCTGTACCAGGCGCTTCAAAAATTGCTGAACCTGCGAGCCCGCCAAGCTCAGCTTTTGAGAACCTTCCTTCCTCGGAAGTTGGATGTGATAGATCAACGTACCTCAGATGTGTCCCGTAACGAGTAAGTCGCTCCTGTTGCTTTTGGAACGTTGGAAACTAGGATCCCGTAGCCATTAAACTTGTTATTTAGTATCTGCACATGCACTGGAGTTTTAGACTGGAAAACCATGAGCTTGTACTTACCTCAAACGCATCTTCGTCCGTTCGATCATCCCCAATATAGACCGGCAGAACATCTCGGCTGTCGCCTAGGCCTTCAACCAAAGAAGTTTAAAGATCGCATCTTCAACAAAAAAGTAGCAAACACTTACCAAGAGCTTCTAGAAGATATTCGACTGCTTTTCCTTTGTCCCATTTTATGGATGGACGGATTTCGAGTACCTAAAAGTTTGAAACCAAGTCACGCAATGTCTAAAACAAAAAAGATAGACAAAATCACAAGCGGCACAAACCTTTCGGCCGTGCGTTATGGATAATTCAGGATATCTCTTCAAAACGCTCTGAACTTCCTGAGCTAGAAATTGCCAATCCTGTAACGGCTTCCGGTTGTAGACAAAAGAAAAAGACAAGACAACTCCCACCTGTTCTCTGACTTGGCGGAAATGTACGCTAAGACAAAACTTGTTGTCCTCAACGCGGGCTCCCTCAATGAAACTCATCTGCCTTTCCAAAATGTCGAAAACCTCCCTCATTGTGGTAAGAAATCTACTGGCGGGTTGAAAGAAAACCACGTCTTCTCCCTGCACAGTTTTACGTGAAAATACTGGCACACGGAAAAATATCAAACCTCTTGATTTTTTGTCAGTGTTCCAGAAACAGTGACACCATGAGAACCTTTGGCAGGTCCCATAATATCCATCCCGTGGCTGCCTGCGTAGTAAAGTTCTGGCAGCTGAACAAATTCATACACCTGTAACATCAAAATCAGAAGATTAGGAGTTGCAAATATATATATGATTCACCTTCTCTCTGGATCTTCCAGTAATTATCGATGTCGGGTACAGCTTAGCCACGCTCTTCACTGCCGATCGCATCTGAAACCGAAGAATTACTTCACAACCAGGAAGCAAAACACATGTATTTTATTTTACCTCCGTTGACATGAATGCCCGCGCAGGATCTTCAACAATGGGTGACAAAGTTCCATCGTAATCGAGGAACAACGCAAGTTGCCTTCCTTTCAGAGCATCGACAATTTCTTCGAATGAGTCCAAAGCCGATGGATGTTCCACCTGCGCAATCAGATTCGAAGTAGTACCTTGCAAATCATAAAAAGAACAGAGCACTCACGACCCAGTCCAAGTAGTCAGGATTTCCAGGAAGTCGATGCCCCTCCTTAAGCGCGTCTATGTGAGCCTCTTCCTTAGAACGTGGAGGCGAGCTAGCTCTCATGACAGTAAGGCAGCCGTTGACAGAATCGCTTTGCACAGAAGTTTTCTTCCAGGCTGCAGAAAAATGAGCAAACAAAGGGCCCGATGGAGGTGAACATTTCGATGGGAAAGTTGCAGCTTCTGTGAAGAGAATTGCCTGCTCGGAACTCAAAGGCATGGCTGCAAGCGGCAGTCAAGCTGTACGAAGGATCCCCTGCGACCTTAGATACTTCGTGCAGCTTGTTTCCTAGGAGGAAGAACAGAGAACTGGTTCAAAACCAAAGCAATTTATCGCCACCACACAGCAACAAACAAGACTTGTCGAAATAATGGACTACAATGTAGGAGCGAAAGCTACACTGCCAAAGTGGACCAGTAGACAGGCAACAGCGCAACTAGGAAAAAAACCGAAGATAATAAAATTTACCTCTTGCTTTAGATACGACGATCCTTTAATACTGTACTATCTTTGATACGTAACTATAGCTTAAAAGTCTGAAGTATGATCCAAACAAAATTGCACTTCCGAATCTGCGATGACAACATGAGCTCCCCGTAAGCAACAACAATAATGCACGCTACGAATCACTTAAAAACTCCCAGACGCAGACACGGGAGCTAGAACAAAAGAAAAGAAAGAAAAAGAGTTGCCACAGTTTCATACATAACTCACGTACAAACAGGACCAAGTCGACGTAGCGTATATATGCCAAGAAATCCACACACACAGACAGTAAAAATTTAGGGATCCCATCACACAGGGAGGGAAATGCAGCTGGCTCTCACCAGAAATTCAAGCAGCCAGCCAAACTCTGGAAAAGCGAGAGACGAAAAGAAAGAACGCCCATCCTAGTCGAGGACAATGACAATGAATGCGGACCAGACCTGACCTGACCTCACCCCGCCTTGCCTGCTCTGGCCCGCGCCTCCAACAAATCCTGGAAATATCAGCCTGGCGCCAGGATCAAGTCACGCAATTCGAGCAATTCGTGGCCAGATCGACGAAATCTTTCACGAAGGACGAAGAACCCTAGAAATCCTCGCCCGAGGGAGGCGGAGGCGGAGGACTCCGAGAATGCCAAAGAGAAGAAAGAGGGGGAAAACCAAACGAAATACTATATTTATAAGCAAAGGTAATTGGAGCACGTGGCACAACGTGAGTCGTTAATCCGTTGGCGGCCGATGGCCTCCATTCCCTCTCACACTCGTGCGCGCTTTACACTGTTGGATTAAGACAAATCCGACGGCTGGCCGATGCACTTTTGCCAGTTAGGCGGATATTCTGTCTCCAAGTGGCACCTTTTAAACCTTGCGTCGGGCATATTATATATAGCCACGTGGGCCCAAGAGCAATATTCTTTATAGATTATTAGAAAGAACGCGAGTGGAGTTGGCACAATGTGAATGGGCCAGATAATCAATAGGAAATTCCTAATTATTGGCGGGAATAGAAGCATCGCATTGTAGAAGAATCATAGAGATTTTAATAATCGAAAGAATCAGGTAAAGGACCAACAGTGAAGATTCTTGGGATATCTTGACCTTCCGTATCGTTTGGTATTTCGTACGGGGAGGCTACCTTTAAACTTGTTAATTACCACAAGTCAAAAGGTTTAATAGAAGTGGTATAATAGAATATTCTCTTTATTGTATTTTCGTGAGAACTTGGCTAGGGTTTAAGCGCGTCGCCTAGGTCGCGGAGGAAGGGATGAGCTGATCCAATGCGTCTCCAGGTAATCCAGCGCATCGATAGCGCGCTTTGTGTAAGCTCGATTTGCTCTGGCGCAGGGATTTCTTTCTGAGATGATCGTCTCAGGCCGGGCTTCTCATCGAATCTCTAAAAGAAGCCTCTACGCTGGATTATCGAAGTCCTTCGCTCGCATCAATGAGGTATTTTGATAGGTTTGAAACTTACATTGCCTTGCGATCTTTTCTCTTTTCTCTCTTTTCTAGAACGAGTCGCGAAGATGTTTCTCGAGTCCTGCAAAGGTTCCAACAGCGGAAGAGGCCGGGCAGCAAAAATCCGAAGCTACGAATAAAGCTACTCCCGCTGGATCGCCGAAAGTCCAGCCAGCAGCTGGAGCGCCGCCAAAGACCTCGAATCCACAACAGGCTGTGCAAAAACCTCCAGTAAAGCCCGCTCAAGTTCCAGTCGCCGGCGCAGCAAAACCTATCGTTTCTGCTGCCAAGCCTCAGGTATCTCAAGCTGCTGGACCTGCTAGCCAGAAACCACAAGCTCCACCTTCCACCGTCCACAAAACTCAAGCTTCTCCTCCTCCACCAGGTCAGAAAGCTCAGGTTTCTCCAGGTGGTGTGAAGACGGTGCCTCCTCCTGTGACCAGAACTGTTCTTCCAACCGGACAGAAAGTATCTCAAGCAACTTCTAGCGTGAGTCAGAAACCGAGTACGTGGAAGGTGTTAATGGCCTCCGGGGCTGTCGGAAGCGTGGTGCTGGGATTGTTCTACTGGCAGTTCCCCAGAATTCACGACGGATCGTCAGATGCTGGAGATAAAGGGAAGGATGCCGGTGATGCTGGCTTTCTTCCTGATCAGCATAACGCGGATGAGAAGTCAGCTGGGGAGGTTGGGAGTTCCGTGGCAACTGATTCTGGTGATACAGAGAAGAAAGAAGAAGAAGCTGTTGTGAACGTCGTGGTGGAGCCTGATAGCATCACAGTGGAAACTGTGCCGGTGGAGTCATTAGCTTCTGATCACGCTGAAAAGGACGAAACCGAGACTGGGAAAAGTAGTGAGGTAGTAGGAAAAGTAGAAGTTATCGAGGGAGAGGTCCCCTCGGAAGAAATTGTCGTGGAGATCGAACCAGATTCGCATGAAGAGGTTTCTATTATCGTCAGCAAATCGGAGGATGAAGAAGCTCAGATAACTGTATCTGACGATAATCTGGTATACTTTCTTTCCATTTCTACCTCGTTTGTTTCTAATCTTTCTGCATATAGGTAGTGAAAATAAGAGAAGGAAATGCAGATATCTCAGAACCTGTTTTGATTCAGCGCGGCCACGACGATCTTGTTCAAAGGCACGACAAGGGAAACTTGGTGGCATCTGATGACAGTGCTACCCCGAAAAGCACTGGATTGGATGTTGTCGCTGCCATTCATGCAGCCGAACAAAGGCAAGCAGAGATTGATGCAATGGTTTTCAAGGAACAGCTACAATTTCTCCAGGTTTTAGTTCTTTTGGAAGCGTGTTGATGCCTGAATGTTTGTTCAGGAGAAGTTCCAACATGAGTTGACAGGTGCAGAACGGAAGGCCTCGTCGTACCAAGAGCAGATCAGACGCCTTCGGGAGGTACGTGGTTCTTGATCAATTTCCAATGGATGGATGAAATATCGTTTATATTTATTACAGGGCATGGAGAACCAGAAGCTCACTCATGTCAGCCATCTGAAGAAGCAACAAGAGGAAGCTGAGTCTAGATTTCAAGAAAAAATGAAACTAAAGGTGTTGATTTTGTTCTTGTATCGGTAGTCATCCATATTTTTTCAGGACGAAGAAACTCAACGGCAGTTGGAGGAAGCTGAGCTTCGTGCGAAGGCGGAATCGGCTGCTGCAATAATAGAAGAACGGGCATCCTTTTTGAACGACATTGGTAGTGTTAAAGTGCATGTCCGTAAGAAAGTGTTGTAACTTTATTCTTTCTTGGCTGCTGAAACACGTCTTTTGTAGATGGAGGCTATGAACGCTGCCTTGGAAGCGAAATCGGAAGAAGCCCGTGAGGGCCACGAGATAAGGCAGCTTTCTTTGGTAATGTCCACAGCTTTCTTGGACGTGATCACTTACATTATCATTGTCAGGGGGCTTTCGCTTTGGAGGACGCCTTGCAAAACGGAGCACCCATTGAGAAAGAGGTCACGTCACTTCTAAAATCAGCCGGTGGCGACCCGCTGGTGGAAGTTGCAGTGACGACACTGCCAAAAGAGGTATTGGAAGTGGGAACCTTGACCCCCGCAGAGCTGGACAGAAAGGTAATATTCTCTTTTCTCTTTCCCTTTGGGTTAAGTCTTATACCTTGCAGCTGAAAGACATGGAGGGAGCATTGAGGGAACTTGCATTGATGCCCCCCACTGGCGGGGGAGTCTTGTGCCACTTAATTGCTCGTCTCGCTTCGGCCCTCAAGGTTGCATCTATGAGATCAAACCACTGCTATTGTGACTTACAAGCTCGTGTACGCAGTTGCCTGATCACGCTTTGTATCTCGACTCTGGAGTGGACGCCGTCCTCGCTCGAGTCCAGGCCTTCGTGGCGAGCGGCAAGCTTCTCGACGCAGCCGAGGTCCTCTCGCTGGGCTTGTCTGGAACAAACGCCGATAAGCTTGCCGGGGAATGGGCCACTCAGGCCCGAAACAGAGCCGTCGCGGAACAGGCCTGCGCACTGCTGAGAGCTCACGCAGCGGCACTGGCACTGAGTGAGAGCGAGCAAGCAAGCTAGAGGTATAAACAACTCTTTTCTATATCAAAAAAACATCGAAACGCGATTTTTTCAGATAGAAGACGCCATTGTGCGCTTCCTCTTTAGAATCCCAGGGAGGGGCACAGGCAAGCGATTGACAAAGAAGATGAGATAGGTGACGAGGAGCAAGAGAAGTAGAGCAGCGATGAGAGCCAGCGAGATTCTATTCCTCTTGACGGCTTTTCCATAATGCTTTGGCCTTGGCGGCGGCTGTGGTGCATCCGAGGAAGAAGGGAAAACGATGCGAACTTCGTCTGACGATGCGCTCTTGTTCACTAAACACCACTCGTCCATGGCTGCCCTAATAAAGCCGCCCGGCCACCTTTTTTATACGGCCAACAAATAGCCATTGTCATATATGGAAAGCATTTTTATGCTGATGGCCACCTTTAAGAATATCTTAAAGATAATGCCTAATGTTGGCATCAAGCTTAAAAGCTGCCTCTGCAAGCCTTCTCTTCAATCTCACTTGGCTAGGGTGTACATTTCTTTTCTTTGCAACATCAATGGCACAATCTAAGCTATTTCTTGTGCTCTTAGTAATAATTCTTCTGGAAGTTAGGGCAACAAGCTTGTTGTCGTAGAGAATTGCATTTGCCCAATATACACTAGACTAGGAGAACTATGTGCTCTTGACTACTTCTGCATTTCTTACATTTGTTTTGCCACACTGCTTGTTCGCGGCTTAGTTTCTTCATATTACTATTAAGAATGTCTCATCAGAGCTTTAGGAAAAGCCATCTGATATGTGTGTAATGTAATGAATAAAAAGTGTTGCATATTCTTCATCACATTAGTTTAACTTGGACATGTTGTTTACATAGAAGATATCCTCACATTGATATGATCTAAACCTTCTCTATAAGCCATTTCATAAAAATCCATCATTCACTTTGTACTCTCCACTCAAACTAATGGAAAAATGCTTGTTAAATATTAATCCTAACATTTAACATTAGTAGTTCGTGGTAAGGTAAACTTAATTATATAAGAGTTTAGAACTCTATATATATACGACATATACATTATAAAAGAATCCACTATAGACAAAAATATTAAAACACCAATCAATTGAGGAGAAAATATTCAATGATAAGAGTATTGACTTCCACCCAAAAACTCAAAGTAGATAAAAGTAATAATTATATAATCATTGTTAGTAGTCAACCATGGAAAAAACCTCATAAGATTAAATGCCACAAGCCTAAACAAATGACAAATTGCAATTAACTCAAATTGTTCTTTTGCAACATGAGGGGGAGTATTATAAGATTTGCACTAAATGTAGTTATGTTGGATAATACATTATATTTTTGGCCAATAGAAAAACCTATGTAACTTCTTGGTCACACAATGATGTCTTATGTGCTCACTTAGAATTGAAAAGTCACAGTAGATATAAAGAACGTGTGGAATAAAGATCAAAGGCACCACCAGCCATAAATAATTATTTAGTCAAACTAAATTTAAATGTAAAACTTATAGATGAAAATTAGTAGTCAAATAATTTTTGAATACTTTATTTGACTTATTGACTTTCCATTTGACTTTTTTTGAGCTTAGTGAGGCTTTGTTAATATAAAGTTTTTATGAGTTTTTTCTTGAGGATGAGGATGGTGTAAAAGATGAAGACAACAGTGTGAGCATTGTAACAACAATCATCCAAGAAATATCTTTCCAATTTTATGCTTTGCAAAACCATGTAAACAATATATATAGTTTTTTTCTTATGCCTTATTTCTTCTTCTTGTTCTATTGGAATATGGATTCTTATAAAATGGCAATATTAATTATTCAATACATCACACACATATCAGATGGCTTCTCCCATGCATTTTAGAGCTCTGATGGGACTTGCTTAATAGTAACATGAAGAAATTGAGCCCTTAATAGTGCCTAAGCAAGTAATATGGCAGAGCAAAAATAGGAAATGCAATAGTAGTTTGGAGCACATAGTTCTCCTGGTCCAGTGTATATCAAGCAAACACAATTAATACAATAACATCCTTTACTGCAACCACCTCTAACAAGCTCATTGCTCTCCTCAACTGAACTTCCAGTAGCGATAACAAGAAGTAAAAAACAAATGGCTTGAAGTGTGCTATTGATGTAGAATTGTGCAAAGAAAAGAACTAGCCAAAGTGAGATTGAAGAGAGGCTTATAAAAGCTTTTAAGTTTGATGCCCACAACAACAATAAGATTGCAAGCTGGCCATTATTTTAAAGATATTCTTAAAGGTGGCCATCCAAAGTGATTAAATAGTGCCAATTCCATTGGAATGCTTTTCATATATGAAAATAATAATTTGTTGGTTGGTCCCATGATTCTTAATTGGACTATAAAAAATCTTATATATATGATTTATAGATCAAAATTGGTCTTTGAAGACTTTATTTGACTTTTATTGACTTTCCATTTGACTTTTTAAGCTTGGTGAGGCCTTGTCAACATAAAACTTTCATGAGTTTTTTCTTCAAAGCAATACAAACCTTTATAACAAGGATGAGGATGGTGCAAAAGACAAAGATAAGGGATTATAACAACAATCATCTAAGAAATATCTTTCCAGTTTCATGCTTTGCAAAACCATATAAACAATATATATAGATTTTTACTTGTGCCCTTGTTCCATTGGAATATCTATTGGTTGATTTCTTTTCTTAATCTTACAATATATAGTTTATTTAAGAGGATCCTTACTTAGTCAAAAGGATCATAATAAGTGTTCTAAAAAATTGGACTATAAGTTTATAAAATTTGGCATCATATTCAATAAGTTGTTCCCCCAGAAATTATGCATTTACATGTAAGTTCCTAGATTTAGACTTTCAAGAGGTTATTTAGCCCAATATTATTTAAACTTAAAGAGATTTAATCCCAAACATCTTAAGACTATTTTTTTTATGGCCCTTTCACTATATATTCAAACTCTAACAAATCATTTCTTTAATCAATTTTTTATAATCCACTACACTTCCCTGTAAGTTTATGCATTTATGAATGGAAGCTAAAAGTTGCAACTCTTCTAAAAATCCTACACTCATAGCACTTGTGGTGTGATCAACTAACAACTTGAGAATCCCACTTTTATGACACCCTACCCCTTGAGTTTATAGTCCAATTGAAGCAAATTAAACCATCAAATGTCAACCTAAACATATAGTATAATTCCCTTAGTTAACTAATAGAATTAAAGCCAAAACCCTTATGATACCAAAATATAAACTCTTGAATTTAAAATTTCCTAAAAAGTCATCTAACCACCTAAATATCACCTAAATATCCAAAGTCTTTTAACTAATTAGAAACTCTTTCTCATAAGACCTTTCCCTCTCTATTTGAGATCACTCTTGAGTTGTTTTTTTTTTTTTTTTTTTTGCTGCTAATAATATAGTAAAATACTTCATATAAAGGGAAAATAAACTGCACCACTTATAGATCCATCTATACTTCTTTTTTTTTTAATGTTTCTCCAAATCTTGGCCTATCAACTAGAGAGCCCTAATTATTTTCCATTTTTCTGAAAAAAAGAGATGATGTGAAGTCTAGGTGTATGGCTACAATGTTATATATTAATATTAGTGTAGTAGTATTTTGATATCCATTGGATTATTTACTCTTGTTTATAATCTATTTTGGGCTAATTGAAAGTGCACATTTTCGTATTCTTATCCACTCATAGGTGTATATATGTATGTATGTATGTATGTATACATATATATATATACAATGGCTATATATATGTGCTTAAAGAAGATTTAAAATATCCATCAAGAACTTTATGCAGATGGTGTTGAAGTTAATGCATGAAAGAAAGATATTTTAAATCCTGGAATTGCTCATTAGTGGTGAAATTTTCCAGCTTTTTATTTTAATGATTAACTATTTATATATCATCACTTACTATGTTCTACTAGCAATTTGTTCAAATGATCCATTGGGAACTATCAAGGAGATGATCCAGAGCATGCCCTTTATGCCAGATTCTTTCAATTGGACGTAATCCTATTCTAATGTGGATCATCACGGTGTATGGGCTCTTGTTTAAGAATAAAGAATGATTTTTTCTTTAGCATTTTAGACTTTTGTGTTATTATCAAATTTAAACTGTCAGTTAAAAAATAAATTCATAAGAGTTGGATTTTAAAAAAATACTAAACTACATTCATTTCATGACTGACTGTGAAAGCATGGATTATTTAAATTAAGGGATGATTTATGTAAAGCACTATTATGTACTTAAAAGGAAATGGAAGTTTTGTAAATGAAGAACTGGCACCCAATGTGGACCTTTTAACCACCGAAAGTAATCAGCTTACAAGTTTCTGTCGTCCTTCTAACTCTTGTGCTTCTGGGACCATCTCCATAAAAACAAATTCATTTGTGCATGGGCAACAAAAAGCAGCCAGCCAGCTGGCTGAAATCAACGTTTCTGTCGTTGCTGCAAGCTTCGAGCATAAAAGCCTACGCAATCCTCTGCTCAATCTCGCTGAGCTCGCATATATATTTCTTATTTGCACAAGTCTACATGATGGCACAATCCAAGCCGTTTCTCGCGCTTATGATAGCACTTGTTATTGCTGCTGCTACTGGCGCTGGTGGAAGTTGCGTTGAGCAGCGCAGCGCGCTAGCTGCGATGGATGCCACTGCACCGAATGCGTTTGCCCGGTAGGAGTTGGACCAGGATGCACTCCCGCGTGCCACTGCGCTTCTTGCGTTTGCCCTGCCTCGCCGCTGGCTCAGGAACTGCTCGGGGCTCAGTTTCTTCATGTTTCCCTTAAACATGCTTGATCTCTCATAGCTCATGGGAGAAGCCGTTAAGCATGCTTGATCTCTCATAGCTCATGGGAGTAACCGCTTGATGTGTGTGTACTCGTATCGAATATAGTGTGTTGCCGCTGCATCTAATAGTATGTGTTGCCATTTCATAGAAGATTAAGAACTCCAAACAATTCAGCCCAAGGCCACACAATGCAATAGAGTTTTAAACTCTTTGAAATTTCAAAACAAAACATTACAACCAAAAAGCCTATCGCGAGCTATACATCTTAATACATGTCATGTACACTTCTAGTCAACTTCCTCGATCTTGGGCCCCGGGCCATCGGATCCGCCCGAGCCTCCTCCAAACCCAGCGCCGCCGCCTGGAGCGGCGCCGCCGGCACCACCACCACCACCACCACCCTGGTACATTCTCGCGATCACCGGGTTGCAGATCCCCTCGAGCTCCTTCTGCTTGTCCTCGAGCTCCTCCACCTCCGCCAGCTGATTCGCATCCAGCCACTCGATCGTCTTGTTGATCGCCTCCTCGATCTTCTTCTTGTCCGCGGGATCCAGCTTCCCAGCCACATTGTCGTCCCGGAGCGTGTTCCTCATGTTGTACGCATAGTTCTCCAGCGCGTTCCTGGCGTCGATCTTCTTCCTCGCCTCATCGTCCTCCGCCTTGAACTTCTCCGCCTCCTGGACGAGCTTGCTGATCTCCTCCTTGCTCAGCCGCCCCTTGTCATTCGTGATGACGATCTTGTTCTTCTTCCCGGTCGTCTTGTCCTCCGCCGAGACGTTGAGGATACCATTGGCGTCCATGTCGAACGCCACCGTGATCTGCGGGACACCCCTGGGAGCCGGAGGAATGCCGGAGAGCTCGAACTTCCCCAGGAGATTGTTGTCTCGGGTCCGAGCACGCTCGCCCTCGAACACCTGGATCAAGACGCCCGGCTGGTTGTCCGAGTACGTCGAGAAGATCTGCTCCTTCCTAGCCGGAATGGTGGTGTTCCGCGGGATGAGCGTCGTCATGACTCCTCCGGCGGTCTCCAGTCCCAGCGAGAGCGGAGCTACGTCGAGGAGCACCACCTCTTGCACCTTCTCGTGCTCCACGCCGCTGAGGATCGCCGCCTGGACCGCCGCGCCATACGCCACCGCCTCGTCCGGGTTGATGCTCTTGCACAGGTCCTTGCCATTGAAGAAGTCCTGGAGTAGCTGCTGGACTTTGGGGATCCGGGTGGAGCCGCCGACGAGAACCACGTCATGGATGGATCCCTTGTCCATCTTCGAGTCCTTGAGGCACTTCTCCACTGGCTCCATGCACTTGCGGAACAAATCCATGCACAGCTCCTCGAACCTGGCCCGGGTGATGCTCGCGTTGAAGTCGATCCCCTCGTACAGCGACTCGACGTTGATCGTCGTCTGGGACGTGGACGAGAGCGTCCGCTTGGCTCGCTCGCAGGCCGTCCTCAATCGCCGCAGCGCTCTGGCGTTGTCACTGATGTCCTTGCGGTACTTCCGCTTGAACTCCTGCGCGAAGAAGTTCACCATCCTGTTGTCGAAGTCCTCGCCACCCAAGTGCGTGTCTCCGGCCGTGGCCTTGACCTCGAACACCCCCTGGTCGATCGTGAGGGTCGAGACATCGAAAGTTCCACCGCCCAAGTCGAAGATCAAGATGTTCTTCTCGCCGGTGCTCGACGACTTCTTGTCCAGGCCGTAGGCGATGGCCGCCGCGGTGGGCTCGTTGATGATCCTCAGCACATTCAAACCCGCGATCACCCCGGCGTCCTTGGTAGCCTGGCGCTGCGAGTCATTGAAATAGGCAGGCACCGTCACCACCGCGTCCTTGACGCTCTTGCCCACGAAAACCTCCGCGATCTCCTTCATCTTGGTGAGAACCATGGAGGAGATCTCCTCGGCCGAGAATTGCTTCTGCTCGTTCTTGTAAGTCACCACGATCATGGGCTTGTCGCTCGGCCCCGCGATCACCTTGAAGGGCCACAGCTTCATGTCCGCCTGGACGGATGGATCGCTGAATTTCCTGCCGATGAGCCGCTTGGCATCGAAAACGGTGTTGGAGGGATTGAGGGCGACCTGGTTCTTGGCGGCATCGCCGATGAGCCGCTCCGTGTCCGTGAAAGCGACATAGCTGGGCGTCGTCCGGTTGCCCTGATCGTTGGCGATGATCTCCACTCGATCGTGCTGCCAAACCCCGACGCACGAGTACGTCGTGCCCAGGTCGATCCCTACTGCTGGCGCTGTCGACGACATTGCGACCTTGCTCACTCGATTTCTAGAGAATCTAGCTACGAATTTCTTTCTTTCCACTCACCGATCGATCGAAATCTTCTTTCTTGCTTCTTGGAATGCCAGAGAAAAACCCTCGCATTTATATACCAGGATAGGAAAGCTCCAGAGCGCTCTGGAAAGCTCCAGAGCGCTCTAGAGAGTGCTGGAATTTGCCACGTCTACACCACCAGTATTTTACCTGGCCAGGTGTCAACGAGCCACGCGGCAGAGTTAGGGTTTAGGGCAATTTTTTAGGGTTCTTGGGCGGCGATGGCGCCCAGCGTAGCGAGCGGGGGCATTGCCATCGGCCTCAACAAGGGCCATGTCGTCACCAAGAGGACGCCGGCGAAGCGGCCGATCGCGATGCGAGGGGTAAATCTTAGATCTGGTGTTTCAGCTGCTAGAAATCCTCGAAATCTCTCTTGTCTTTTGTGTAGAAAGGGCAGAAGAGGACGCTGTTCGTGAGGAAGCTCATCCGGGAGGTCGTGGGGTTTGCGCCCTACGAGAAGAGGATCACGGAGCTTCTCAAGGTCGGCAAGGACAAGCGCGCATTGAAGGTCGCCAAGCGAAAGCTTGGGTCTCATCTGAGAGCCAAGAAGAAGCGCGAGGAAATGTCCACTGTTCTAAGGAAGATGAGGTGCCTATGCATTTTCTTTCTAGCCATTGTATCTTTAGCTCACAGTTCTTGTGACTTTCAGGTCTTCCGGGAAGTGAGAGACTGTTTTTTCCAAACTTTTTTCTTTGAATCAATCGCAACGACTCGTATTAACAGATCGATCGAGCTCGATATGGTACAGACCCGTGTTTCGTGTTGTCTCTATCGTTTCTTCTTGAGCATATCTCTGACTTCGTCTAGGACAAGCCATGCCTGGTGGCCGCCTATAACTTCACCTTGCTTCTCTCCGTTTCGCCAAAGCTTGAGGAAAATCCGAAAGTGAGAATGGACAAGGGAAGAGGATCGATCATTGCTTGCTTACCTGAATCGTGGGCATTTTCTGCAGATCAAACAAGCCAAGAACTGAGAACTTGGAACTTCAAAAGCAAAGAAAAAACTCGAGGTTCGTTCGATCTTTTACCGTGACTGACGCTCGCTCTATGAGTGATTTTGGCACACAATTCACGTCCACGCAGTAGAAGTTGATGCTGGTTCACGCAAGACTCGAGATGAGAATCGCCAAGAACGTCGAGACAAGAGGGATTTCTTACTGTGGATAGAACTCGGCCCCAAGCTTCTCGAGCTTGGGCTTCAAGTAGATGCACTTCCGACACCACAGTGCCATCCTGGAAGGTTTGGAGTTTTACCAAATGATATGCGGTGCTCGAAAGTTACCATTCGATCACTGCTCCTTTGTTGGATTCCTGGCAGTCGAGTAGAACGCGGTCGAATTCCTCCTCGCTTGTGATGGGCTGGAGCTCAACCTTGTCGGGCTTTTGGATTCCTCCCCACCAGGTAGCGGCTTGGATTGCCATTCCTTTCCTTGAGTTGGGCGTATTGGGCGGACAGGGAGAGAATCTAATGAGAGATTGCGAGGGCAAGAGCGCGGACGCCATGGATAGAGATAAATCCGATAAGCGAATATTTTTAACCAACATGGAATATTCTTTTATTAGGGCAGCTGAAATTAAAGGACGCGTGGAATGGTTTTAGGGCAATTAACCAGTTCCTTAAGCGAATTAGAGAATATTCGTTAACCAGCAAGGAATATTCTGTAGGGCAATGGCGAAGACGAAGAAGCACAAGACGAATCCGCGGAAGAAGAGGAAGAAGGGGAGCGATTGCGTTGCGCTCAGCTGCTTAGAGGCGTGGTCTCGATGCGATGGCGCTGTGTTGGTGGATCTACACTGCCACACCACTTGCAGCGATGGATTGCTCAGCCCGCCAGCGCTCGTGGAGCGAGCTCACAAGAGAGGGGTACGCGCTGGCTCGTGTCTTTCTCGACTACACTCTTGTCTTCCAGGTTAAAGTTCTGGCGCTCACGGATCACGACACCATGGCCGGCGTCCCGGCCGCCATCGCCGCCGCTCGGAGCTATGGAATGCGGATCATCCCTGGAGTGGAGATCAGCTGCCGATATCTTTCCAGGTAGAGAAGATGCAGAGTTTTCTCGTTTCTCCGATCGATCAACCCAGGCAATGATTTGCTTTCTGGCAGCTCCGGAGAGATGGGAGAGCTTGTCCATGTTCTAGCTTACTATGGATGCTGCGGTCCCGCTCAAGGATTGGAGGAGAGGCTGGCTCGCATCCGCGAGGGGAGATACGCTCGAGCGCGTAGCATGGTGGACAAGCTCCGGGATTTGAAGAAACCAGTGAGGTGGGAGAGTGTTTTAGAGTTTGCTGGCGATGGAGTAGCTCCTGGGCGGCCTCACGTCGCTCGGGCTCTCGTCCAGGCCGGGCATGTTAGCAGCGTTGGCGAAGCGTTCCACAAGTATCTCCACGATGGCGGACCTGCGTACTCCAAGTAAGTTTTTCTAGCGAGCTTTCATGGATGGAGATAGAAGTCTTTCTTTGGTTTTGTGCTATAGTGGCTCCGAGCTTCCGGCGGGAGAAGCAGTGGAGCTCATCAGAGAAACGGGAGGGATTGCTGTGCTCGCTCATCCCTGGAGCTTAAAGAATCCCTTGGACGTTGTCAAGCAGCTAAAGGACGCCGGGCTCCATGGAATGGAAGTTTACAAGTCTTCTGGACGGGACAAAGGTATTGTCTTCTCATTCATGCCATGTTTAGAGCTTCTTCTATCGTCGCTTTCCCGTTGCAGCCTTTGCAGATCTAGCTGACGCTTATCATCTCGTAAAGCTCGGCGGATCAGACTTCCATGGAACTGGCGCGGCGGACGAGACCGATCTGGGGAACGTGGAAGTTCCCGCCAAGGCGTTGCACGAGTTCCTCCGTGCGGGTGATCCGGTATGGCTGGATTCCGTGATGAGCATCTTGTCGAGTTTTGCGGCAGGGACAATCACGGTTCAAAGCCCGGATTGTGACAGGAAAGAAGCCAAGAGCAACAGAAATACTCTAGATTTATCTGGAGACGCTGAGCTCCGAGTGGTTTCCAACGGGACAGCGCTGAAACTCTCGTCGTGGCTGAGTGAGGAAGAGAAGCAGCGAGTGGTGGCAGCAGCAGCCGAAGCCCATGGTCTCGACGCTAGGATCACAGATGGTAGAGGAGAAGTTCTCGTAACCAAGATCAGGCAGGGTGACTAAGTTGTTGCCTGTTTTTGTCTTGATTGTCCAAGTCCTGTTCTTTAAAACGTTCGGATCCGCCACTGCTTCTCTTTTCTTCAGGTCTGGTTGATCGGAGCGGCGGCACTACTGCTGCCCGTGACGACTTTGCGGATTACAATCGATATTTCTTCAGGTCCCTTGATTTGGAACGCATGGACTGTGATCAAATTAATCCCAAAAGAAAAGATCACCAGATTTCAAGACATCATCCAACACCAGCAAGCACCTCTTCCTTGCAACGAGCCTCCTCACCAGTGATTGGACCTTTCTACAAGACCGATTTTTCACAAGTTCGTCTTGCACTGAGAAGATGAGGTGTGTCTTGAAGCTGTGATAATGAATGTTAACATCACCGACCATGTGAACATAGTGCTAAGCTTTTGAGAGTAATAAAGCATCGCATGCCTGATGAATTCTTCCAGTTCGTCAACAACTAAGTTACAAAGGTGGCTTCAACCAGAGGTCCCTCACAGAGCGTAACAAAGGAAGTTCAGGCAAGTTTATGAAATGACAATGGAGAACTTGGGTGATGCCTCTCTTCTCTTTTTTTCAGCTCAACACAACGATCAAGCGCAAGACCGATCAATCTAGAATCTCCAAGATCGGAGAATGGGTTCTTCCAAGGATGAAGCGCCGAGAATGCGGGGGATGGTAACGTCATATATTTTCCAAAGAAGCGCCGGCCTTAGGGATGGTGGGCAATCGACTAAAACGTCATGTAGACATCCTGCCATATGGTTTAAGTAGATGGTATGTTATTTTATTATTGGAGCCCGGTTGCTGAGATCATGGCTATCAGGTAAGTGTAGAGGTAAACCGTTGTAGAAGACCCGGGTTCGATGCCGAAGAGTCCAACCAACAAGGACTTTAGGGTAAAGCTTTATGCTCAATAAGTAGCCCTAGTTCTGGTTTGCTAGCTCACTAAGAGAGCTTAGACCAATCAGTTGAGGCTTTGGTCTCCCAAACCACAGCTCTCGGGTTCGATTCTTCTTTGTAGATAGAATAAACCTAGTTTTCCCCTTGTCCAGCAAGATTGCCCTTGTTTAATGTGCAAAGTTGATCGCCATCAGCCATGGAACACAAAATAGCTGCATATGTTTGCTCTCCCAGAGTTTTTACTTCTCATCTTTGCCAGCTTTCTCCAGGTGAAGTTCAAAAGTAAATTACATTTTTATTGCCCTCTGCGAGAGTATAAAAGATATAGCAAAGAACTAGGGCTTTCTCATTCTTCCAGTCAGCAAACGGGCGATGGAGTGCGTTAAGGTGCGATCTTCAAAGAGATTGTCCAACAAGTGCAAGAGGCATGCCGAAGACAAGGAGAACAAACTCAAACAACACCACGAGTGTGACACGGAGCATATGGACGAAGACTCTTCGTCCACACTCTTGGACTTGGAGGCAAGCTTGGATTGTTTGTACGAGAAGCGATCCAGCACCCGAGAGGCCGGCTTGAAGGGCATCATCGACGCTCTGGTGGCGAGGGTGATGACCCACTTCGTGGAGGACAAGTATGAAACGTTGACTCATCAAATCCTGTCGTCAATCAGGCAGAGTTCTTCGACAGAGGCTGTTCTTGCGGGGCGTGCTCTGGCCATGGTTTCCATCACCGCGGGAGCAGGGAAAGTGGCCGAGCATGTATTCCAGGCCAGCTTCCCTCATCTCTCCAAGATTTCCAAGCTCGGACGCGATTCTGCCGCGAGGGTTTCAGCGATTGAGGCTCTCGGGATGTTAGCTTTCGTTGGTGACGTGGACCTGGAGGAGGCAAGCGCGATGGAGGTCCTGTGGCAGATTGTCATCCACAAAGGCAGTGCTCACGCAGATCAAACTCTTGGTACGAGCAAACCCACACCTCCAGTCAAGGCGGCCGCCATCACGGCTTGGAGTTTGCTGCTTTCTACGTTGAGCTCCAAGAGAGTCACGGCCCTCCAGCTCCCGAGTGTGTTGGGAGCTCTGTCCTGTTTGCTCGAGGATCCAGATGTAGGTGTTCGCAAGGCTGCCGGGGAAGCCATTGCTCTTCTCTGCGAAGTTGGCGGCATCCAGCTGTTGGAGGAGCAAGCTCTTGGCGAAGGTGAAGCAACGGCAATGGAGCTGCAGGTGGTGGATCGGATGAAAGCGCTGGCTGCCTCTTCCAGCCGGAAGGGCCAGACGAAGAAAGAAAGATCCGAGCAGAGGAGCAGCTTCAGGGACATGGTGGCGACTCTCCAAGGTGGTGCGTGTCATGAGACTTGTCTCAAGCTCAAGCACGGTGACTCGCTCAAGATCAGTACGTGGAGCCATACCGTGCAGCTCAATGCCTTCCGAAGGCTCCTGGGCGAAGGCTTTCAGAGGCACTTGCAGGAAAACGATCTCCTGCACCAAGTGTTCAACTTTGCTCCAAGAAACGCCGTGGTTTCCAAGGGGACGGCAAAACAGCAAAAGCATCAGAACTGCATAGCGAGTAAAATGAAGACCCAACTCATGAACCAGAGAAGGTGTGCGCTTGAGGCCAGTCGAAAGTTTAACGACGGTAGCGTTGAAATATGCTAGAGGAGTGGAAATCTCTAATACTCAAATGTATCAAACTTCAGATCACTTAAGAGAGAGAATTAAAACGACTTGTGTATACTACTCTACCTCTTCAAGCGGTTTACTTTTCAGCTTGGCCTTTCTTGAGCGCTGAACATTGAGTGCCTCGTTAGCATGTTTACAACTTCTCTCTAGCTTCGTACCCTCCACGGGAGAAACTTTCTGCTCCTCATTCTGCAGCGCAAGTGAGAGGAAAACGACCAGACTTTGTAGTGACTGCGTGTTATACCTGCCTTTCATCTTCTCAACGCGTTTCATCTCCTTGAGCTTCACCAGGTTCTTCTTTCAGCTCTGTATGGCAGCGACATAAGAGCAAAACAGCGCTTTCACTTCCCAAACCAAAAACATGCTCAGAATTACAATGAGCAAGGTAGTAATGTAGAAAGTTGTGCACAAGTGTGGAGGCCTTCCACTGGTCTTGAAGGTGATTGGCAGAAGAATGGCAGGCAGGCGTGGACTGTGAACAATTTCAAGATGTTTTCTTCTCCCAAAAAGGCCCCCATCTTGGTTTTAATTGCACCTCTAAGCTTTTGGGTGGTAACCAAGATCTTGCTTCCATTTTGTATCAAAAAGATCCAAAAGATCACCAGATTTCAAGACATCGTCCAACACCAGCAAGCATCTCTTCCTTGCAAGAAGCCCCCTCATCAGTGTTTCAGCCTCACATTCGGGGTTTCTAGCTCCTGTATGAGCTCAATGATGGGGTGTGGATGCCAAGCGCCTCGTTGTGGAGATCCGAGTAAAATATTTCTGGATGTGTCTCTTTGGTCCACTTTGTTAGGCACGAAATTCGTGGAGAAAGGTAACAAGTGTGACAGGCTTCCTTGGTTGTAATGGTGTTCTTCTTCTTTAGCTTGGCAGTGTGAAGCACATCAAATTTGACGATGGGTGGATCAGTTGGACACGCTCATTCCTCTCCAGCTCAGTTCTCTCCATCCCTCCACTCGAGGCCGACACTTCCTCCTCGTTGTCTGCTGCGAGAACAAGGACATCTTCTTCGATCTCAGCACAGTGCGTGCTCGGCAAACACTGGAAATCCTGGAAAACAAAGCGCCTCTATGGTATGTTTGTGAGCATCATTTCGTTTTTATCTAGCGTCGTCTTGGGTGATGCCAGGGTGGAGTTTCTTCTACGCTTCGCTTGTGGAGATGGCACGACTTTTATGACGTCTAGCGCGACGGTAAGTTGAGAGCGCTCAGGTTTTTGATAGAGAGGCTAGTTAAATCCCTGAATTTCCAGACGCTTTTGGTGTCCGTGGCTATGGAATGAATGGAATTGCTCTTTCCTGATTTGCCTCTGCAGGCTCACGATGGTGGTGTGTGCGGTATGGAAATGGCCAAAGTACCAAGGGGACTCCTCAACTTGTAAACCAGGATGGCATTGGCCATCTGGGATACCACTTCTTTGAGGGTAAGATACAAGTATTTCAAATGATCGCTGCAGGAACTTTCTATTACTGTACAAACATTTTGTTTCTCTCGAGTCAGTTTGTGTTTGCTGTGAATGCGCACCTGACTTTCAGTTTTACCGTGCAGGTTTGTGTTCGTCGATGCGGGGGTACGTGGCATTGACGTTGAAAGAAGGAAGAGATGAAGAACCGTGCAGCTCAGGGAGCCTCCATGGCAGATTGCTTTGTTGACTGTGGACACTTCGACCACCTATGTTACAGGTACGTTGGTTATACGCTTACAAGTTTGGTAAATTTGTTTCTGTCACAGGTTGTCCGGCTCGACACTGCTCCTTCAATTGCACGGCCTCCGCCAGCCAAATGGATGTGGATGTGGAAGACAAGAAGGTTGCAGGCGTGGCGTTGCGATGGGGGAGGCAGCATTGCTGTAGCAGTATCCAGGTTACCTATGGAGCACAAGCGTCCTGGAGTCTGAGACGGCGTGCTTTGGATTGTTGACAGGTAACTGGATTGCATTCATTTTAACAGAGCATGATCATTTGTGGATGTGCACTTTGTATGACAGGTTCATGGTTTATCCACCAATGTCTTGCTGCTCACGGAAATGATCTAGCGCTGTGAAATGGTATGCTTTACTGATTGGTAGTACTTGCTTGACTGGTAGTCCTTGTTTTGCAGGGCTTTCAGGCTTGGACGAGAGCACCATGACGAGCTATGCTACTGAAGCTTTACATCTGCCTGGCATTCCGAAGGTGGGTTTGTCACTTACATCTCGAAGAGGTTTTGCGTTGAGCGAATTGCCGTTGTCTAGGCTGGAGTATGACCTCGCAAGCAATGCCTCGTCACGCTAAGCCAAGAAGCTGATGCAGTTTTTGACAACCAAGGAGGAAACAAGCGACGCTTTGTGAAGTTCTCCGATGAGCTGGTAGATGCCAAGTGCTACAAAAGCTGGCAGTGGCTGGTCCTGTCGACGGGGAATCGAATGGGAATACTCGAGCGCTCGTCCAGGTTTGTCTTTCTTGACATTCATTTGACCCATTGTAACAGCTCGTGCCTATTAGTTTAGATACAAGAGGAGGCCCAGAAACGTTGGTAGTGGTAAGCTTTTCAGAGTTACGAAGGATCGGTTGCCTGATGATCACTTCCAGTTCGTCAACAGGTAAGTTACATTATGAAATGACAATGGAGAACTTTGGTGACGCCTCTCTTCTCTTCTTCTCAGCTCAACACAACGATCAGGCGCAAGATCGACCAATCTAGAATCTCCAAAATCCGCAAATGGGTTCTTCCAAGGACGAAGCGCCGAGAATGCGGGGGATGGTATCGTCATGTATTTTCCAAAGACATCCTGCCATATGGTTTAAGTACACGGTATGTTATTTTATTATCGGAGCCCGGTTGCTGAGATCATGGCTATCAGGTAAGTGTAAAGGTAAACCGTTGTAGAAGACCCGGGTTCGATGCCGAAGAGTCCAACCAACAAGGACTTTAGGGTAAAGTTTTGTGCTCAATAAGTAGCACTAGTTCTGGTTTGCTAGCTCACTAAAAAAGCTTAGACCAATCAGTTGAGGCTTTGGTCTCCCAAACCACAGCTCTCGGGTTCGATTCTTCTTTGTAGACAGAATAAAGTAAGAATATTCATGGCTAGATGGTTAACCTAGTTTTCCCCTTGTCCAGCAAGACTGCCCTTGTTTAATGTGCAAAGTGATCGCCATCAGCCATGGAACACAAAATAGCTGCATATGTTTGCTCTCCCAGAGTTTTTACTTCTCATCTTTGCTAGCTTTGTCCAGGTGAAGTTTAAAAGTAAATTACATTTTTATTAAGCCTCGCCTCTGCGGGTATAAAAGATATAGCAAAGAACTAGGGTTTTTTCATTCAGCAAACAGTGCGTTAAGGTGCGATCTTCAAAGAGATTGTCCAAGAAGTGCAAGAGGCATGCCGAAGACCAGGAGAACAAACTCAAACAACACCACGAGTGTGACACGGAGCATATGGACGACGACTCTTCGTCCACACGCTTGGACTTGGAGGCAAGCTTGGATTGTTTGTACGAGAAGCGATCCAGCACCCGAGAGGCCGGCTTGAGGGGCATGATCGACGCTCTGGTGGCGAGGGTGATGACCCACTTCGTGGAGGACAAGTATGAAACGTTGACTCATCAAATCCTGTCGTCAATCAGGCAGAGTTCTTCGACAGAGGCTGTTCTTGCGGGGCGTGCTCTGGCCATGGTTTCCATCACCGCGGGAGCAGGGAAAGTGGCCGAGCATGTATTCCAGGCCAGCTTCCCTCATCTCTCCAAGATTTCCAAGCTCGGACGCGATTCTGCCGCGAGGGTTTCAGCGATTGAGGCTCTCGGGATGTTAGCTTTCGTTGGTGGCGTGGACCTGGAGGAGGCAAGCGCGATGGAGGTCCTGTGGCAGATTGTCATCCACAAAGGCAGTGCTCACGCAGATCAAACTCTTGGTACGAGCAAACCCACACCTCCAGTCAAGGCGGCCGCCATCACGGCTTGGAGTTTGCTGCTTTCTACGTTGAGCTCCAAGAGAGTCACGGCCCTCCAGCTCCCGAGTGTGTTGGGAGCTCTGTCCTGTTTGCTCGAGGATCCAGATGTAGGTGTTCGCAAGGCTGCCGGGGAAGCCATTGCTCTTCTCTGCGAAGTTGGCGGCATCCAGCTGTTGGAGGAGCAAGCTCTTGGCGAAGGTGAAGCAACGGCAATGGAGCTGCAGGTGGTGGATCGGATGAAAGCGCTGGCTGCCTCTTCCAGCCGGAAGGGCCAGACGAAGAAAGAAAGATCCGAGCAGAGGAGCAGCTTCAGGGACATGGTGGTGACTCTCCAAGGTGGTGCGTGTCATGAGACTTGTCTCAAGCTCAAGCACGGTGACTCGCTCAAGATCAGTACGTGGAGCCAAACCGTGCAGCTCAATGCCTTCCGAAGGCTCCTGGGCGAAGGCTTTCAGAGGCACTTGCAGGAAAACGATCTCCTGCACCAAGTGTTCAACTTTGCTCCAAGCAACGCCGTGGTTTACAAGGGGACGGCAAAACAGCAAAAGCATCAGAACTGCATAGCGAGTAAAATGAAGACCCAACTCATGAACCAGAGAAGGTGTGTGCTTGAGGCCAGTCGAAAGTTTAACGACGGTAGCGTTGAAATATGCTAGAGGAGTGGAAATCTCTAATACTCAAATGTATCAAACTTTAGATCACTTAAGAGAGAGAATTAAAACGACTTGTGTATACTACTCTACCTCTTCAAGCGGTTTACTTTTCAGCTTGGGCTTTCTTGAGAGCTGAACATTGAGTGCCTCGTTAGCATGTTTACAACTTCTCTCTAGCTTCGTACCCTCCACGGGAGAAACTTTCTGCTCCTCATTCTGCAGCGCAAGTGAGAGGAAAACGACCAGACTTTGTAGTGACTGCGTGTTATACCTGCCTTTCATCTTCTCGACGTGTTTCATCTCCTTGAGTTTCACCAGGTTCTTCTTTCAGCTCTGTATGGCAGCGACATAAGAGCAAAACAGCGCTTTGACTTCCCAAACCAAAAACATGCTCAGAATTACAGTGAGCAAGGTAGTAATGTAGAAAGTTGTGCACAAGTGTGGGGGCCTTCCACTGGTCTTGAAGGTGATTGGCAGAAGAATGGCAGGCAGGCGTGGACTGTGAACAATTTCAAGATGTTTTCCTCTCCCAAAAGGCTCCCATCTTGGTTTTAATTGCACCTCTAAGCCTTCGGGTGGTAACCAAGATTTTGCTTCCATTTTGTATCAAAAAGATCCAAAAGATCACCAGATTTCAAGACATCGTCCAACACCAGCAAGCATCTCTTCCTTGCAAGAAGCCCCCTCATCGGTGTTTCATTGTGGATTGGACCTTCTATTAGTCCGATTTTTGGCAAGTTCGTCTTGCTTTGCCTCCACCTGAGAAGATGCAAGAAGATGTGATAAAGGAACGTAAATGTCACATGATTGACCGCGTGAACATAGTGGTAAGCTTTTGAGAGTAACGAGGCGAGGCGATCGACCGAAACGTCGTGTAGTTTCCAAACACACCCTACCATATGGTTTAAGTACATGGTATGTTATTTTATTATTGGAGCCCGGTTGCTGAGATCATGGCTATCAGGTAAACCGTTGTAGAAGACCCGGGTTCGATGCCGAAGAGTCCAACTAACAAGGACTTTATGCAAAACTTTTTGCTCAATAAGTAGCCCTAGTTCTGGTTTGCTAGCTCACTAAAAAAGCTTAGACAAATCAGTTGAGGCTTTGGTCTCCCAAACCACAGCTCTCGGTTCTCGGGTAGATAGAATAAAGTAAGGAATATTCATGGCCAGATGGTTAACCTAGTTTTCCCCTTGTCCAGCAAGATTGCCCTTGTTTAATGTGCAAAGTGATCGCCATAACACAAAATAGGTGCATATGTTTGCTAGCTTTGTCCAGGTGAAGTTTAAAAGTAAATTACATTTTTATTAAGCCGAGTATAAAAGATATAGCAAAGAACTAGGGCTTTCTCATTCTTCCAGTCAGCAAACGGGCGATGGAGTGCGTTAAGGTGTGTTCTTCAAAGAGATTGTCCAAGAAGTGCAAGAGACATGCTGAAGACAAGGAGAACAAACTCAAACAACACCACGAGTGTGACACGGAGCATATGGACGACGACTCTTCGTCCACACCCTTGGACTTGGAGGCAAGCTTGGATTGTTTGTACGAGAAGCGATCCAGCACCCGAGAGGCCGGCTTGAAGGGCATCATCGACGCTCTGGTGGCGAGGGTGATGACCCACTTCGTCGAGGACAAGTATGAAATGTTGACTCATCAAATCCTATCGTCAATCAGGCAGAGTTCTTCGACAGAGGCTGTTCTTGCGGGGCGTGCTCTGGCCATGGTTTCCATCACCGCGGGAGCAGGGAAAGTGGCCGAGCACGTATTCGAGGCTAGCTTCCCTCATCTCTCCAAGATTTCGAAGCTCGGACGCGATTCTGCCGCGAGGGTTTCAGCGATTGAGGCTCTTGGGATGTTAGCTTTCGTTGGTGGCGTGGACCTGGAGGAGGCAAGCGCGATGGAGGTCCTGTGGCAGATTGTCATCCACAAAGGCAGTGCTCACGCAGATCAAACTCTTGGTACGAGCAAACCCACACCTCCAGTCAAGGCGGCTGCCATCACGGCTTGGAGTTTGCTGCTTTCTACATTGAGCTCCAAGAGAGTCACGGCCCTCCAGCTCCCGAGTGTGTTGGGAGCTCTGTCCTGTTTGCTCGAGGATCCAGATGTAGGTGTTCGCAAGGCTGCCGGGGAAGCCATTGCTCTTCTCTGCGAAGTTGGCGGCATCCAGCTGTTGGAGGAGCAAGCTCTTGGCGAAGGTGAAGCAACGGCAATGGAGCTGCAGGTGGTGGATCGGATGAAAGCGCTGGCTGCCTCTTCCAGCCGGAAGGGCCAGACGAAGAAAGAAAGATCCGAGCAGAGGAGCAGCTTCAGGGACATGGTGGCGACTCTCCAAGGTGGTGCGTGTCATGAGACTTGTCTCAAGCTCAAGCACGGTGACTCGCTCAAGATCAGTACGTGGAGCCAAACCGTGCAGCTCAATGCCTTCCGAAGGCTCCTGGGCGAAGGCTTTCAGAGGCACTTGCAGGAAAACGATCTCCTGCACCAAGTGTTCAACTTTGCTCCAAGAAACGCCGTGGTTTACAAGGGGACGGCAAAACAGCAAAAGCATCAGAACTGCATAGCGAGTAAAATGAAGACCCAACTCATGAACCAGAGAAGGTGTGCGCTTGAGGCCAGTCGAAAGTTTAACGACGGTAGCGTTGAAATATGCTAGAGGAGTGGAAATCTCTAATACTCAAATGTATCAAACTTAAGATCACTTAAGAGAGAGAATTAAAACGACTTAGTACTAGAAAGATCTCAAAACATTACTTGCTGAAAAATCTCGAGAATTCTATACCTCTACTCTACCTCTTTAATGCATGTATACAACTTCTCTCTAGCTCCACGGGAGAAACTTTCCTCTGCTCATTCTGCAGCGCAAGTGAGAGGAAAACGAAGCCGACAAGCTTACTGGTGCTCGAGTGACTCCATTCGAACCAACTATTTGCTTTCTTTGTTCGAGTGATTCGATTCTCTGTTTTTATTGAGGAACTCTGTTGCAAAGTGACTATATATCAAAACCATGTTGTCAGAAAAGTGTAAAAAAAAATCCTAAACTTGTGGACCGGACTTTGTAGTGACTGCGTGTTATACTTCAGCGCATTTCATCTCATCATCCCCAAGAGTTTCACCCTGTTTCCTCGCCTCTTCTTTCATTTCCGTCTGCCAGCGGTGTAAGAGCTTGAAGGCTGGCCCCCGTCAGGTCACTGGAAAAAGCTTCAGTTGTCCAAGTCCTTTTCAATTTCCTTCAAAAGCCTTAGCTCCATCTTTTTCTACTTCTGCTTCTCTTTCTTCAAGTCTGGTTGATCAGGGCCTGCTGGTTTACGCTTCACGGCACAACTATTGCTGCTGTCTCTTGCGGATTACAATTAGCAAACATTAGAAAACAAAATCTAGCATAGCCATTGACTTACAGCGCTCCATTATCTAGTGCAGTCTGGTCGTTGGTGATAGTCAGAACGGTGCTGGCTTTGGACTTTTCACGTTGGCCAGCCACATTTTAGGTGCCGTGATCAATCCTGCCCGGAGTCTGCATTCTTGACACAACAGGAAAATCCATGCCCGAGTCTCGAACTGGATCTCCGCATCGTAGAGAAGTAGGATCATGCTGGATATCATGAGGCAATAATGCGTCATACCCCAACTTGAGTCTCTGCAGTACCTGTTGTTCCTCGTCAAGGAGTAGCAAGTTAACGTTGTTGATCATTGAGTATGCTCAAATCGTTTTCGAGTGCTTGATGAGCCTCATAATGACTACTCGATGTTGGTGGAGTTCTTGCAGGCGAAAGTAAAAAATTTATAAGCTCTTAAGTTGCCAGTCACCTTCAGGAGGCCCCCACACTTGTCCACAACTTTCTCCGTTATTACCATTCTCACTTGACCCTGAGCATGTTTTTGGTTTGGGAAGGCACAATTTCAAGCTGTTTTCCTTTCCCAAAAGCCCCATCTCACCTATGCTGTCAAGCATATCAAATTTTCGGGTGGTGACGAAGATCTTGCTTCCATTCTCTTGTACCACATTAAACAGATCCAAAAGATGGCCAGATTCATCCAACACCAGCAAGCACCTCTTCCCTGCAAGCCGCCTCCTCAATGTTTCATTGCTGACACGATCTTCTAGTCGATTTGTTTGGCAAGTTCGTCTTGCTTTGCTTCCACCTGAAAAGATGCAACCACAGTAAGTAAGGTGTCGAACATTGCTTAAGCTGTGAAAGGAACATACCTGACACAACTGATTGAATGTTAGCCACAGAACTGGATCAAAATGGGCCTTGACTTGGTCGTTGTCACATATGCGTTTGGGCAAGAGTGTTTTTCCAGCACCTCTTACTCCATGGACTCCGATCCACTTGCTGCTTACAGGGGATCCCAGCAAGTCTGATACAACCTGCCCCACCGTCTCTTCCATGCCAAAAGTGTGGCCATCCAAGGACAACATGCTGTTCTTCCTTTAGAACCACATTAGATGGTACCTTATTCAACGTAACTCTGTTCAGAAGCTCAACCCCCAAGATTTCGAGGAGCTGCAGCCAAGTGCCCTTCAATTGCCTTGGAGGAGTGGCCAATCTTGGTAGCAAGTGCTATCCTGGAACAAAATCACAACTCAATCAGGCAAGAGGAGCACAACACTAGCCAACCTCTTTGGGTGTTTGTAGAGATTGGCCCTCAAGAACAAGAGGTTTAGCCTTTGCAACCTTACTTTTGAGTTTCAGCCAGGTATCCAAGCGCGAGGAGCTCAGAGAGCCTTCAGTAGCAATATTCACGAGCAGACCCGATGCTTTCAAGGAATATTCCAACTCGCTGCAGTGCTCCTTGCAATGAATGGCAGACCTTGGAAAGCCCAATCATCACTTCATTGACAGCTGCAGAAACAAGCGCACTCAGCACACCGGTACAAGCCGGTCAACCTTTCTCTAAGAAAGTCAGCAATTCGGTCAACGGTCTCGAAGTTTAATATGAGCTTTGAGCTAATTAGCACTTAGGGTTCTGGCGCAGGAACGATGCATTCGTTCCTGTTGAGAGGGAATGCGGTGCTCACTTTCGCGCTCACGGTCCTGGCCGTGGCTTGCGTCTTGGCATCGCTCACCGACACGCTCCACTCCTCCAAACCCGAGGTTAATGTCGAGGTACGGGATCGTGGTTTTGTTTGCGCTTCGATTTTTTGGCTCACGGATCCATTTCTGGCTGGATCGGCTGGCTTGTAGATCTTGAGCGTGGATGCGTTCGGCAGGAACCCCGGCGGCAATGACGAGGTTGTTTTGACACTGCACATATCGGCCGACCTTCAATCGGTCTTTACATGGAACACAAAGCAGGTGTTTTGATTTTTCTTTGTTTGTTCTCCCATCTTTGTGTTGGGTTTTTTTTCTTGCTAGCTCTTCGTGTTTCTGGCGGCCGAGTATGAGAGCTCCAAGAACGTCTTGAACCAGGTAAGAGATCTTCCTACAAGTGTTTAGTTGAGATTTCCAAGCTCGGCTGGGTTTCCTCTCTTGCGCAGATTTCTATCTGGGATTCGATCATCCAATCCAAGGAAGACGCGAAGATTCAGCGAAGAACTCGCAACAAGTACTCCTTCGTCGATCAGGTGACAAAAGAAAAGAAAAAATCCCGCAAAACAATGGATTTGTTTTTTTTTTCCAGGGAAGCAATCTCCGCGGCAAGGATTTTAACCTGACACTGCACTGGAACATCATGCCCGTAACTGGGGCAATGTTTTCCGAGAAGAGAGTGCTCACAGGCTTCCGCCTCCCTAAGAATTACATGTAAGCTCATTAATCTCTCTGTTTTGGACTACACATTAAGAGATTATGAACGAAATAATTGGCCCTTTTTTGCTTAAAATCTTTTTTAGAGCTTAATCTCATTTCTATATACATCATTTTTGGTTTGTTTAAGTAAAACTTAGAATGGTAATGAATATACTTAAAATATTCTGGGATATTTTACAATTTAAATGCGCATTATATTAGTGTCTAAACATTCAAAATATTTATAGCAGACCAAAAATTTCATTATTATATTTTACCAGGTTCTCAAATTATTAGGTTACAAATTTATGTTTCTTTTAATTGGTCCCGATAACCGTCAGTTTAAACTAAAATATTACTACATGTTACAAATTAATTACTACTTAGCATAATATGTTACACGTCATTTTGGCGCCAAGAGATGCTTAATCTTTTGGCGCCAAGAGTCGTCCCGCTTACACTCTCCTGGGGAGTGCTCTTTTAGAGCCCGATTTTTGTCCAAAGGGCTGCGGGACTCTCTGCTTCACCCAGTGAGTCGTTGCACGTCAAGATCAACAGCACCATAGCAGCAGGACAAGATGAGGGAGTGCATCTCGATCCACATTGGGCAAGCGGGGGTCCAAGTTGGTAATGCTTGCTGGGAGCTCTACTGCCTGGAGCATGGAATCCAGGTACTTAAAACACTCCCGCTTTTATGAGGCCTGAGCGAGCCCCTGCTGTGCTCAGCCCGATGGCCAAATGCCGACTGACAAGACAATTGGCGGAGGCGACGACGCCTTCAACACTTTCTTCAGCGAGACAGGTGCGGGAAAGCACGTACCGCGCTCGGTGTTTCTCGACTTGGAACCCACGGTGATAGACGAAGTGAGGACTGGTACATACCGGCAGCTCTTCCACCCCGAACAACTTATCAGTGGGAAGGAAGATGCCGCCAACAATTTCGCCAGAGGCCATTACACAAGTGAGTGCCCGACTTACAACAAGGCCATAACGATTCAACGCAAACCTTTGTTTGTGTGCAGTTGGGAAGGAGATCGTCGACCTGTGCCTGGATCGAATCAGGAAGCTTGCAGACAACTGCACTGGCCTCCAAGGCTTTCTTATCTTCAACGCCGTGGGAGGAGGCACCGGCTCCGGCCTGGGGTCGTTGCTGCTGGAGCGCCTCTCGGTTGACTACGGCAAGAAATCGAAGCTTGGCTTTACGGTCTATCCGTCGCCTCAAGTTTCCACGGCTGTTGTGGAGCCCTACAACAGCGTGCTCTCCACCCACTCGCTGCTGGAGCACACCGACGTCGCAGTGCTGCTGGACAACGAAGCCATCTACGACATATGCCGCCGCTCACTGGACATTGAGAGGCCCACCTACACCAACCTCAACAGGCTCGTGTCACAGGTACGCTTGTTTGTGTGCTGTATGCGTGCGCGTGTAACCATCCGTTTTCCCAGGTGATCTCGTCCCTGACGGCGTCACTCCGCTTCGACGGTGCACTCAACGTCGACATTACTGAGTTCCAGACCAACTTGGTGCCTTATCCTCGGATTCACTTCATGCTCTCCTCGTACGCTCCAGTCATATCCGCAGAAAAGGCATACCACGAGCAGCTATCAGTTTCCGAGATAACGAGTACGGCGTTCGAGCCCGCGTCTATGATGGCCAAGTGCGACCCCCGTCACGGCAAGTACATGGCCTGCTGCCTCATGTACCGAGGTGACGTGGTCCCCAAGGACGTGAACTCTGCGGTGGGAACCATCAAGACTAAGAGAACCATCCAGTTCGTTGATTGGTGTCCCACAGGCTTCAAGTGTGGCATCAACTACCAGCCACCAACAGTTGTTCCCGGGGGTGATCTCGCCAAGGTCCAAAGAGCCGTCTGCATGATTTCTAACTCGACCAGCGTCGCAGAAGTCTTCTCCAGAATTGATCACAAGTTTGATCTCATGTATGCCAAGCGCGCCTTTGTGCACTGGTACGTCGGGGAAGGCATGGAAGAGGGAGAATTCTCTGAAGCCCGGGAGGACCTTGCGGCACTCGAGAAGGACTACGAAGAAGTTGGTGCAGAGTCCACTGAAGGGGAAGGCGAGGAGGAAGGAGAGGAGTATTGAATAACCAAACGCAGGCGCTGTAATTTTTACGAGACAGATAAAGATGCCTTCACCGCCTGTATGTCTGCTGCGTCGTGTGTGTGCAAACCCGCAGGTGGAAGAACAGTATCCTGGACACAGCAACTCGTCAAGTTGGCTCTAGTAAGGCGTTTACCATTGGCATTTTTGAAATTTTTATCATTTCTCTTTGTTATGAATGGCTGACTTCGAAGCCCAATCACTACGTTGACCCGTGGGATCAAGATTGGCCATGACTGCAAACTCTATGTTTTGCTACATACTGCCAAATTACTTACTGACATAATCTGCTCAACGGTTCAATCACAACTAAAACCAATTTTTATAAAAGCTTTTGGGTTTTAGGAGCACAGACATGGCATAATAATCTATATCCCTCAATCTAGCCCTTTAATGAATCAGGGTCTGCCTTTCTAGATTGCGAGGAATATCTGTTTTTCTTTTTTCTTTTTCTTTTGCAAAGTGCTATGACAAATGTTATAGCTAAATGTTAAAAAGATTAAGATTTTATTAACAATTTCAATTTACATCCCCAGTCAAATACAAAATATTAAGATCATTGATAAAGGCTATCTAATGGTTGCAGGTGTGTTTATAAATGCTAAATTTGTTTATAATTTATAAACTTTTCTAAATAGCCAGTCACACAACAATACACCATCTTGGTGCAATTGGAACACAGTAATTATAATTATAATTTTCAAGTTTCTAATGATCTGCACCTTGGTCTTAGCTGCAGGGGAAGAAAGTCATATAATGTGAATGTATCTACCATATGTGAATAATTATGTTTATTATTAAAAAATGGTTGATCTAATATCTAGCATCAATAGTCCAGTATATACTCTAGGTATATCCTTTCAATATTCTAGAGTTTTTTTTAGTTTTTTTTAACTTTAAATTTTATTATATTTTTATTAAAAAAAATAAAACAGGTATACAATAAAAGAAAGCAAAGAAACACGAAGTAATTGAAAATATTGTAAGTAAAACAGTAACAGAACATTGACATAAAATAAAATATATAATTTATGAAAAATTAAATGATTTGCTTGGAACATTATTTGGACATTGACTGCTTGGTTGACTTATAAAGGTCAACACAAGGAAGGTGCAATTTTTGCTAAGTGACAGTGGCAATGAGAAGATATTCATTTTCACAAGTAACCATTCGGAAAATCTTAACCCTGCTTCGCAGTGATCGTATGGATCTTCAAGTGCATCTCACTTACTACAGGTTTGAGGCGCTCAAGGCGCTCATGAAAAACTACATGCAAATTGAGGAACATAAAGTGGATAAGTTGATAGAGTCTCAAAAAGAAGACCACAAGGCCGGTCTCCCAGCACATTTATAGAAAGGAGAAGAAAAAAACAGAATACTTAAGAAATATAGTTAAAAGAAAAGTATAATATGGCACCTAATCCTTTTTATTCGAATTTCATTTCTTTTCTCGATACAAATATATATATATATATATTTGTTTCGTTTGATACAGAACGGATTTTTTTTTCCTTTCCTCGTGTTATTGTTTTTCCATCTCATTGCATATAATAGACAGGCCCTGGCATTCCAAACGGTTGAGCGCCTCCATATTGCATTGGCGGAGGAGCAAAGTGCGAAGGCTGAGAGAAAGCACCTGGCATTGGCCCCGCCATTGGAGGCGGCGGCATTTGCTGCTGTGGAGGCATGGGTGCCGGCGGGGCGCTGTAAGCCATGGCGGGCATCATCGCTTGCATCTCCGGGACGCCCTGTGTGTGATCCCATGCCGCGTACGCCGTGTACTCGGCACCCCCGGGAGAGGTGGCCGGGGCCTTTCCCAGCACCGATGGCGATTGAGAGGAAGTGTAGTCTCGGCTCCGGTCGTTGTTAACCTGTGCGGAAGGACGAGAACTTAGAAAACGAGCTCTACCAGCGAAGAAGCTTTCTTAGCTTTTGCGAGACTGCTTACCCGTACCTTTACATTCAGGTCTGTGTGCCGGGAGTAAGAAAGGTGTAGCTTGCAGTATCCACCTTCGTATATACAGTGGCCCTCCAGGGCCTCTTTGGCTGCCACTGCCGTGGTTACGTCTGGAAGAACAAGCTTTCGTTAGCTATGAGCCTCCAAGGAAAAAACTATACACGCATCAATCGTACCAGCATATTGTATCAACGCTTGGAAGCCAGCGTTCTTCTCGAAGATAGCGATCTTCTGGATGGGACCAAAGGCGGCAAATACCTGCGGACAGAGAGCACAGCACACGGAGAGTTAGTGCCTCCCAGTCGTTTGAGTGTAAACAGCAAAGTATCTACGACAAAAAATAAAAACCCAGGCAAGAATACCGTGTGCAAGACATCAATCGTGACTGAATATTGCATATTTTCTATCGAAGCAAGTAAGACATTACTTTCAGGTTCCTTCCTCTTGCCATCAGGTCCAGTAGTGTATTCCTGCAAGAAAATCGAGTCGCATTAGGAAAGAAGAGATTTTTCAAGGCTCTTACCTGGCTAATACCATTGATCGCTGATGGAGCAACGGGCAAATAAGGATTTGTGTAGTCCCTGGAGTTAGAAAAGGAAAAAAAGAAAAGAAAAATGAGAATGGGTTGAGAATAACCTGGTGCTACCTGCTGCGGTGACTCTGAAATTTTACATTCAAATCAGTATGAGCAGAGAACGAAATACGAAGATGGCAAGAGCCGACGTGTTCTGGAAGTAAATATCTGAAAGACAAAGAAGTGTTAGTAAACGAGCACCAAAATCTGGGCTGCCTACCTAGGAATGCTTCGCCCGTCTAGAGCTTGTCTAGCAGCAGATGCAGTGTTTGCATCACTAAACTGTACCAAAGCCTACAAACTCGAGCAGGTCAGAAGCTGGGCAGGAGAACAAGATAATTACCTGAAAACCAGCAGTTTTCTCAAACGTTGCTATCTTATGGACAAATCCGAATGCTGAAAATACCTGCGTTCAATCAAAGTAAACATTTTTAAGAACAGAAGTCTCAAGAGCTCGTCCAAACCAGCCAAAGCAGCCACAATTCAAAACTACATGCAGGAAATCAAACGAAAACAAATAAATGCTGCCTATCCGGCAGAATGGAAAACATCCAGCAGCTCGTAGCCAAATACGATTCCTGAGCTAAAGTCCTCCAGGCTAAAGAAAGTAGAAAGCGAGCAAAGGAGAAAAGCGAAAGCCAAATAGGATGGAAGGAAAAAGAAACAATCACGAACTACGAGCTTCTAATGGTTGGAAAAAACTAGTAGGGGTCGAGAGAGCAGGGATCGAAAACGAACACACATGCGCTTTCTCCCATGCAGCAACCTGCCATCGAGGGTGCAGCCGTGACATGGACCGTGTAATCCATGTATCGTTACGTCAAACACCCAAACCAAGCATAAAACAACCCATTAAACGACCTGCAAGTAAAAATAATGAAGGAGCTGAAAACCAAAACGTGAAAGTGTATAGACGTGTGACCAAATCGAAAACGAGCTTGCAAAAGTGAGAGTGAAAAAAGAAAAAGAAAAAGAAACCAAGCCACAAAACATAGACTTACCAAGTGTAAGACGTCAATGCTCACGTCGCCAGCCTCCACACCCTCAATGGTAACGAGCAAAACGTTGCTGGCAACGTCACCGGTGTTCTTGCTGTTTACAATCTCCTGCCGGTTGGAGTACTGTAAGTACACAGTCTTCCCCCTCACTTGCGCTGGCTCCGACGACGAGGCGTAGAAGGAGACCATCGCAATCGCTTGGTTTAAATCGGCCTACAACAAGAGATATAGCTTAGGAGTTCGTAAATCAAAACAGTTTCTAAAGAAGAAGAACGAGGCAAGCAAAGTATACAAGACCACCTTTGCCAGAAAAGTCACGAGAAGAACCAGCAGTAGCAGTGAAAGCAAGCACAAGGTATCAAAGAAGCTCGTTTGTGACAAAGATCATGGACCAGCTAGCTTAATTTTCAAAAGAAAACAAAACCAAGCAAGCAATTCATGGCGCTGGAGGAAAAAATCTCCAAGAAAAAATCCAAAAACAAAGCAAACCAAGCAAAAGGGAATGGAGGCGAGCTTACGAATTCCACGAATGCCTGGTTCCGGTTGGTTCCCACATTGCATTTGGTATTGACGACCTTGCCAAACATCTTGCACAGTTCGATGAGCTCCTCCTCGGTACACTCCCACGGCAAGTTCCGGATGTGCAAGACCTTGGACGGGGGCTGTGTGTATCGAAACTGGGGCTGGCTGGCTGTGGAAGTCATGCTTGCTCACTCAAACCCTAACGGAATGCTGCCTAGAAGCCCCGGCCTGGAATTCCAGCCATTACCAGCAGCGAAATTCGATGCCGAGCGATCAGAATATCGCGGCAATCAGCGCCCGGCCAGCAGAGGAGGAGCTATCCGCGACGGTGCCGATGACGACGACGAGATCCTCAGCACTCGCAAGCGCCGGAGTACGGCAAGCTGGATCATCAAGCCCCGATCACTGGCGCCCTAGCGATTCCTCCTTCCCTAGCGAGAGGCGTGACACGGAGAGAGGGAAGGAGGAGAGAGAAAGAGAGAGGAAGAGAGAAAATGAGAGAATGAGAGGAGAGAGAGAGACAGTTTTAGGGCTTGTAGCGATAGGGCTGTGCTTGTTGTATGGAGAAGTTACCACTCATTCCGTTGCGTGTTCGATCCTCGTGGCCATTTTTCTATCTCTGGGAGGAAAGAAAGAGTTCGCGGTTCGATTCTCATCCCGCCGCCCATAGTCAGTCAGCGAGGGTTGACATGTCAACGATAGTCAACGCTATTGCGAACGATCTCTATTGAAATATCTGAATGATCCAAAAGAACACGAGAAGCTCCGGTCAATGAGCTTTGATTGGAAATCCACACGCAGTCAACGAGAATGCGAAGAAAGCTTCTTTCAAGTCTTTAGAGCTGGATTGGAACTCTGGATGATCCAGAAGAATCACCCCCCAGCACGTCCCAGGTGAGATCGGCGATTGGCGTGCTCTTGTGCAGGCTCTCGTCAATCTCCGCCCAGTGATCACCGTCCATCACGCCTTTGCCGCTGCTAGATCCATTCTGGGCGCTAGAAACCCCGCCCGGCCCTGGCTCCGATTTTGCGCGACCCATATGCTCCATTTCCTCGATTTCTCGCGGCTGATGCTGCTGCCGCCGCTGCTTGAAACACACTCTGTTGGACAGGGCCTCGATCTTGGCATCGAGCATAGATGGACTTCGCGAGAAATCTCTAGAAATCGGGATAGACATGCTCGGCATCGAAGGCGAGGAGGAGGATGAAGAGGACGAGGAGGAGGAGAATCGGGATCGCAAGTGGTGGATCAAGTGGGGGAAATTGAGACGCGCGTACTCACCTCGGAGCTTGTAGGCGGCTTGATCGTAGGCAAACGCGGCCTCCTCGGCGGTCTCGAAAGTTCCCAGCCATAGCCTGGTCCGATTCCTGGGCAGCCGGATCTCCGCTACCCATTTGCCCCAGTGCCGCTGCCTCACCCCGCGGAAAAGCTTGGTGCCAACAACGGGCGATGATCGATTGCTCGTGCTCTCGACCAAATTCTTGTCCAGTGCTGGGATCTCGATCGAGCCGGTGCTGGAATTGAGGATGATCTGCTGCTGATTCTCGCGATTGTGGCCTGGATTCACAATGCTGCTCGTGAGATCGATGCTCCCCTGCTGGAAAGAGGCCACATTGATGAGAGGGATTTGGCCACCCAGAGAGAGGATCTGTGGGTAATTGGGCGTGGATTGGTGGTGATGGCGATCTCCCAACAACCATGCTGGGGATTGAGCTAGGGGTATTTGTTGATCGCCATCGCGTATAGAACTTGAGCTTGCCGCAGCTAGATCGATCAAAGCACTTATTGCATTGTCACTTCGAGGGCGATCCACCATCTTGTCACTAGATTTTGGCAACGATCGAATCAAGCGTTTTGCTCGATCGCTGGGCCAGGAATCTCCATCCACTGGGGCAGAGAAAGAGCCAGCAGTCCCGGCTTCCAAGAAAAGGGACGAGTTTTTAAAATGGAATGTAGAGGAGAGGATGAGCAATGTGTGTGGAGAAAAAAAGAGAGAGAAAGAAAGGGGAAGAACACCTAAAGCCAAGGCCGAGGAATCAAACAAAGCAGCTATATTAGATTCGGCTGCGCTGTGAATTGTGATCTGGCTGATTTGTTTTTGCCGGGGTTATAACTGTTGCTCGCGCGTGCTCAAAGAATTTTGCTCTTGAAAATGGTTTCTTCGCTCATTGATTTAGACCTTGGAGAAATCGAAGCCCTAAAGTCTTTCCTTTAAAAACCCTGACCGGCGGTTAATGTCGTTAAATACTGACGTGGAATTTAAGCGAACGTGGCCAGCATCCATTCGCGGGGCTGCCTCGTGAGTCATCCCTTATATTGGCCACCTAACTCAGTAAAAGGGGAAAAGTGGGGGACCATGTCATAGCATCTGTCAGGACGCGTGTGCGTTGCTCTTTTTCTCGTGCACGGACAGCTGTCAGCTCTGCCCTGGCCAGTTAGGTTTCTTGTGTGACAATGTAGCACATTACTATGATGGGCGAAACCATATAAAATATTTCGTCAAACAATGTCCCGGCGTTTGATTAGAGTATGGTATGATGTCATGGGTTTGTGTATTTTTAGTGGAATGGCCCAGCAAACAAGCATGATCGCTTTCATGTGACTACCATCCTTGTGGCGATAGACGTGTCTTTGCTTTAGCGTCTTATTGTGCCCACCACCACAAAGGAAAAGAAATGGAGAAAAGCTAGAGGATTGAGGCGACGATAGATCACTCCAATCAGTACTTTGGGCCTTGTTTTCTCAATCCTCTCCTCCTTGGCTTGATTCCACTTTGGTGAGAGTTCCAAAACTTCCTCTTGCATCGTCCTTGGGAGTATGCAGAAGTATGAAAGACTTGTAAACTAGAGACAAACACACATGCTTAAAGCGGAGGCTAAGAGTTATCAAAATCATAGTTTTGGTCAGCACAACGCATGGTCCACCAAGTTTTAGAAGCACTCACTTGGTCCCCACACTTACACTTTCGCGGGAAAACGCTGGAACTTGGAACTTGGAGTGGCAATCAAGGCACAGATATAGATCGAGCATCCATAGCTATAGCTAGATCCTTTATATCCTGGTGGAGTTTTCTTAGGATAAGAAAAGATACTGTGATGGATAGCGATGCAACAAGCTTGTTCAATGATCTTCCATCACGAGGCAACTGTTTGGAGATGGGCCTCTGTTTCACGTCATCGTCCGAGGAAGAAAAAACTATTTCGTAGGAGACAGCCTTTGGCAACAGGCATTTACGCTTCTGTGGAAAAGAATGGTCGAAGTGTTTGAAGTGCTCACGCCCACCGTATTGTCTCAAGATCCGTTTGTGAATCAATCCTCCTCCTAAGTCACAAAGGTGTTAGGAAAACTTGCAACTGTTTGCAGCCTTGAGGAGGGCGATTGATCACGCTTTTCGGCAGTACCAGGTAGGAAATGTAAAGCTCACGCAGAATGTGATGTGAAGGAGTGAATGCTGCCTTTGAGAAAACCACGCATGCCTTTTTGACCACCTACAAACACAAGGCGAACCCATCCTTGGATCAACTTGACGTTGCTACAAACTACCCAAGTGGGAAATTTCATCGACGGCGCAGGGTCCTTTTGTAGTCCTGGAACGTGTGATAAAATTGCTACACTTTTCCTTCTGTCACAGAGCTTGTCCACGCTTCCGGATACTAGATGCTCGTCATGCGTACTTATGCAAAAATACCATGTTTTGCACAGCTCGCGATGTAATTCCTCCATCAGGTGTGTGAGATGGATCTGTTTTATCTGTCCAATGCGGGCGATTGTTTCATTGAAAGAGTGATAAACCATTGATGAAAGTTGTATATATACAAGCAAATAGCCATAGAATAGTTGTGAGGTATATGATATATGGTATACATGTAAATACCTGACAAGTATTTGAATTTAGAATATTTCTTGAAAGTGCAATCAGAAGTGTGGTTTTCATTTATGCATAGTTTTAAAGTCTTTATTATCAAAAATTCTTATAATATCCAAACTTTATAGTTATTAAATTTACAAGAATATAGAGATAATAAATTTTTGTTTATAATATTATTTATCATAAGTATAAGAAATAATATAAACATTTAAACATATATTTTTATCATTCACTCCTTATTTTCCAATGACAGAATGACCAATTAAAATTCAAAAACTTTTAGGTATATTATAAGGTTTATTTGCTAAAAAACAAATGAAATGTTATTCATACCTACTTCTATATAAGAATATTAAATAAAACTAAATAAAATAACTTGTTATTAAATTTAAATTATATTATAAAAACATTATATTTTATATAAATGTTCCAAGATATCGAATAAATAGTTTAATAATAATCATATGTTATATTGCATCACTTGCTTGTATAAAAATATTTTTAAAATATAATTGAATAATTGAGATTAAACTAGGTATATATTTGATTTGATTGCAATACACTTATTACTCTTAAATTAATTATCAAAACTGTAATATACTATATGTAGGGTACATATATATATCTAATTATTTAAATATATTTAGCATTTTAATTTTTTGATGTTATAAGTGTATGATAGAATACAAAAATATACATATTAATTAACCCAAAAACAGTACCTTATATATAGGAGCAAATGATGGGGATTGAAACCAATTTGACGGCTATCAAAATCCCATTACACTAATTTTAATGTATAACCATTAATATTAATATATGGCATTGTAATTGTACACTTGAACCTTACATCATCCTCTCTTCTCAGAAGAATAGAAGTTAATCAAAGTCTTTTGGTTAATAGGCTAAGATTTAGAGGAACATTAAGAGGAAGCATTAGTGGATCTTTAAATGGTATTAATTGCTCAAGATCCCTTTGTATAAAGTGCTTCAGCTATTACATATACACATAAAGGATTAACCTATGAAACATCATGTCAAACTTTATAAACTTGTGGTTCAATTTGTCGTAACACCTAATATAGTCCTTTTTATTGAGCAAAGAACCCCTTAAACAAATATATTGTAAGATTGGGGAAATATACTAAACCCAAGTTATCCACTTTATTCTCTATAAATGGATGGTGATAGAAGTTATGGTGCTGTTGTTGTCCTATTTATATATGGCCCAAGTGTTCAACAAAATCCACTCAGACAAGTGGAAGAATCCTCATCAAATCTTAAGATCTGGCATTAGTAGCTCATGGCAATCATGAAAGTAAACTCAACTCCGTTGATAATATTGAATCATAACTATATAGAAGTTTATATAATGAAGCATTAACAAAACTTTGTACCCTTGTTACATATGTATATTGAAGATATAACAAATAACCATCCCAATCTAAATGTTGAAAGTTTATATATTTTGCGATCATTCCTTTGAAAGTCCAAATAAGCCATTTCTATTACAAATGTGACGGCAAGTATCAAAAGTTATCTATAAACTAATCCTTTTGGATATTTTTTCCTTACTACCATGACGGCAGGAAGTCAATATTGCTAAACCCTATTTTAGTCTTTGCCTAAGCTAGTTGAGAAACTAATCATCATATATGTACTTATGCCAAATAAATATAAAGTAGGAACTCTTATGTATTTCTTATTGAGTATACTCAGCCCGGTATAAGAAACTTATATGTTGGCTTGCACTTGTTAGTGTTGGGAACCCCTGTGATATTGAGTTTGGTCCTTCAATATTTGCAAGATGATAGCTTATTGTGTTTGCCAAACACCCTCACTATCATGTATCTTGTGTTAGTTTTGTTCAATCCTAATTACTATTTATAGAAAGTGTCTAGAATTGCTAATTTAGCATATCTACAGAATGTAGAGATTATCCTGAACACAATGGTGTTAGTCCCACATCAAAATTCACAATCTAACTTCATTCCATATTTAATAAATTTCAAATTAGTCATAGCGACTAACTCCTAATACTACGGGTAAAAGCCTAAAGCATATGTTCCTTGGGGGGGGGCGGGGAAGGGGGTAGGGGGGTAGGGGGTAAGAGGGTTATAGGGGGTTCCAAAGTATATCCTCGCATTAGGCCACTGGTATATTAAAATGATGCCAAATTCCATTTGACTCCATTTTGTATGCTATTGGGATGGTGGATGTTCAAGGACTATTCTAAGTCACTCCATGCATTTGTCCCTTCGTTCTTTAGGTTATATGTTTAAGAGTTTCTCCATGCTTTGATTCCTCCGCTACTTGGCTCCACATTTAAGAGTTTGGCTTCGTTCTTTCATTTAGTGGCTTAAAGTTTTGGAACTTGGGTTTTGCTCCACTGTCCTTGAACACATGATATGTGGCACATGGCATATGAGATATGGTATATGGAGGGTATACATTCTACTTTGTAGTTATCCTATGGTAAATCACCATAGGATAAAGGGTGAAAACCATGTGCACTATAGTTTCACTAAACTATTTGTTTGTAAATAATAAACACTTGTGAAAGTGTAGCATATCCTTAGCTAAGATGTTAAAATGTGAAATGTTTTAGCCATAAATGCAAAACCATTATCCGAAACAATCCTATTTATACAAGAATGTTGGAACACTACTCAATTGAGGGGGAAGTATCTAACAATAGTTGCAAATATATTAACAAGAGCATCGACTTCCACCCACAATATCAAATAATTAGAAGCAATAATGAAATACTTACAATCGACCATGGAAAATAATGACATACTCATTGCTAACAGTTGACCATGTTATACTATTGTTAAGTACTTCCTCTTCAATTGAGTGGTGTTTCAACATTTTTGTCCATAGTAGATTCTCTTGAGTAATAGTCCCATATTTATAGGAAAGGAAGAGGAGTAGTCCTCTGTTGTAGTGATTAAGGATGCGGTCACATGACAAGGAAGTCCTAGAGAACAAAGAGACTTAATGGTCGGGCTTATGAGCCTTGATCCAGTGGTAATGTTGACAAAAACATTGCCACTCAGGGCTATGGACAGAAAAGGACTTGAAGGGGATCGGAAAAAAGATATTGGGGAAGGCTATTCCCATGTTTGCGAGCATCCTAAGGATGCTAAAGAGTGGATTTGGGATAATCACTCATGAACGGATGGCCTAGTCTTTGAGAGATGGGACTATGATGCAAGTGGTGTTAAACCACTAGTGTGACCGAGGTGAAGGGACATGGCCTTAACGTAATGGGCTGATATGTCAATGGTACCTTGGGGTGTCGATCAAACATGTGGAGCACTTGGACCAAGTGCAAAGGTTAAGTGGCATGGATGCCATTCTCGAGGATAGCAAACCCTAAGTCCGGAATAGGACTTATAGAGGTTCTTGTAAACTCATGAGTTTGGACTTCTCGGGAAGTCACCCAGCATAGTACTATTCAAACCTAAGGATGTTT